GAAGTAATCTGTTGTCAGTTCTCATCTTAGCTAGTCTAAAATTAGCCCAATATCCTGTGTTACCTTCTCCACTTCAACGATAAGTATTGAACTTTGCGCCTCTCATAAGAACAGAAAAACAGATGTAGGTCACGATACATCATACAATTTATCAGAAATAGTCTAAAGAAAAAGATTGCCGCGAGGTAACCATCGTGAAAACAACAAGAACTGATATTTCCACTTAAAAGACGGAAGTGTTGGTTACAGTTAAAGTTTGTACGTGCATATCACTATGGTAACGGACATTTGAAAGCAGAGATGTATACCATGACACTGAAACCACAGAAAAACCGCTAGTCGCTACTCAAGGAGGCTAACAGTGAGCAGGAAAGTAAAATTCTTTCCGTTTCCGTTCGCTTGAACACGTCTCTAAGTTCCCCTATCGTTTGTCGAAAGACTGTGTTCGAGGTTTTTTCATTCGTAAACAAAGAAGATAAAGAAATGTCTCAAGTACATTCTATGAGAAGATATTAAAAAAGAGCAGAAATTCTAGTCAAAGCTTTGTATCTTATTCGGGCTTTGTTGGTGTCCTTTCTGTAGAGCTCGTGTAATGAGTGACGATAAAAATGATCATTGAAACAGGAAATTAGTTATTATAAGCACCTGCTGTCGTTAGACAGACCAATCTTGTTGCCTGGCATTTTAGGTGACTCATACCCGAGACTGCAATTTTCACAGTCCATGATCAAATCAAAGAACCAGGGAATCAGTAACCAAATAAGCTCCTAAAAAAACGATGCATCTGGAGCATTTCATACAAATCATTAGCCCTCGGGGTCTAATTTCGTCGTCGGCGGCTTTTAAAGATTGCAAGTGCCTCTTCGGATCCGGAAAGATGGATTTCACGAAAGAAAATACACTAGATACGTGTTGTCACTGGCATGTCGTGGCTCCTTTGCCTTAAAGCCCAAGGCTTCAAGCATAAGTGCTGAGGCAGGTTGAAACAATGGACCACTTCAACGAAAATTCGGTGTCCATTTTGTAAAACATTTACGGCAGTGCACTTGATAAGCTGCGTTTAAATAGGTCTCTTACTAATGATAGTATAAGATTCACTCTGACGAAGGGCTAACGCTCGAAACGTCAGCTTTGTAACTCTGTACCGTGGCCAATTTACGTTATCGACTCAGTTGATAATAGCAAATTACCCAGTTATACTCTCCCACCGGCGCAGCTCCACATTTTCTTTAGAAACCTTCCCCTCTTTAATGATAATATACATTGGCTTAGGTTAAGGTTTTGATGCTTCTACAAAAAATTTCTCAAGAAAGACCACCCATAATGATCGACTGAAATATGACTGTCTGCCTGCAGAATTCAGGAAATGGAAATAGATATCTACATTATCTCTAGGGATGACCTTTTAAGTAAAAAACATCTCGTTGCCGCCACCGTCGGTAATTGCGGACAAAATAACCCTCAAATCCTTCGTAATTACTGAAGTATCCTCAATACCCATATCTGTAACAATATTACAAAGGCGGCAATGGTCAAATACAATAAAAACATTATTTGCATGGGAATTGGTCACGTTCACTGGCAGGGAGCTGGTGCGTTTTTTATCTTAAATTCCTGTTTTCAATCATCAAGATTATCGTCAGTCATCAGATCTGTCCCATAGAGAGGACACCATCAAAGTACGTATAAGCATCGAAGGCGCTGAACATCTGCCAGCATGTAGAGAACTATATCTCATCCCATGGTTCTTTAACTTGTCTGTTTGCAAATGGCAAAATTTCAATTGCACTCTATTGGCAAATGATAGAGGAACTTTTTGGAACACGTTCACGCGACCGGAAACGGAAATAATTAACTCTGTTGCCTGCTTTTAGCCTGATTGGGTAGTGACAGGGGGTTTGGCGGTTCCTGTGTTATGGTGTGCATTTCTGCTTCAACTCTTTTGGGGATATGCTTGTAGACAAGTACATAAATTAAGGATGTAAATGTAACTTCCGCCTTTTAAACGACGCAATATCAGTCTTTGTTGTTTTCTTATGGTTACTCTCTGGCAACCTCTTTCTTGGAGTGTTTTTCTCATGACTTACTTGATATATCACGACCTACATCTGTCGCTCAAGTGAGAGGCGCAAGGTTCGATACTTTCGTTCAAGTGGAGTAGGTAATGCTAGATATTGAGCTAATTTGCTGATCGACATCGAAAGATATTCTGTCAGGATTCAATTTACTCAGTGGACATGCAAACTCAACTAGCGGGAAACTGGCTCAAATGTTTGCATTATAATAGCATTGATCAAATACAAACTCCAAAAAAGCCCAGCTCATTGTTTGCTTCTTACCAATATTTCTCTAAATAAAACTCTCTTCAAAGACGATTTCATGACTTAGAGTTATTTATGGTCTTCTAAAAGGAAATTAATTTGCATGTTTAGCTCTCGTCCTCAAGGACCGAAATAGTGTTGGAAAGCTTAATACGTCAGATATGGCCACTTTGCTTTTGGCAAGTGGCCCGCCGGAAAATGATTAAACGAATTTTAAATTACATGTTCTTATCGATTATGATTACATACATCATATGAGACAGCACGAAATTTCCCACAGTTCGAACGATGCGAATTCTTGAACGGAAGTACTTGCCAAGCGACCGCAACAACAAGAATATAACAATTTTTCTAAGTAACAAACTTCACGTGACAATGCTGAAAAAATGTTGGTTTGGGGTCATTACATGAACATTTAGTGTGTTATCACTAATAAACTTCGTTTTAATCTCATTCATTGACTGCCAACTAGAAGAAACGGGCGATAATATGACGCAAATCGAGCTGAGTACCATAACTGGATCAAGTAAAAATAAAAAGCTTAGCACATTGCAAAAACAAACTTATAGTGCGGACGTAAACAAACCCAAAATCTTACGATAGCAATATCACGCCAAGGGTCACTGCAGTCTTTTTCACTTTTTAAATGAGTACATAGTCATTCATGTATGCAAGAACCTCGAACTGCAAATCCTGTTTCGTTTTATTAAATCGCAGTGCTTCTGAATGATTAGCGGTTTCTCCAGAAAAATCCTGGTGAAGTTTGATTCCATATTTGATACTGCTCAATACGTTATTGAACGTTACCAGATAGATTAATGAAGGAGTTTTCGGTAATCGGCTCGGGGCAAAAATCAGACATGTCGCTTTCGCCGTAAGCCCTTTGTCGCCAAAATAAACAGATGTTTAGTGCTCTCTTGGGTTGTACATCCCGCTTACTCTTGTTTAGTGCCAAAACTTGTAAACTCATACAGGACTAGATTCTTTCGTAATATCATTAGCGTGGATACTTTTCTTGTTAGAATTTGTGGGATTAATCTAATCATATTCTGCTCTCTTACGGATCACTGGAATGACTTCTAGACATGATTATAGATAACAAAAGTCAGAAATTATGATTTGTGTTAGGCACAAATCATGATTTGTGTTTGTGTTTGTTTCCGATTAGGGTCAACCTAAAATAATTTGACGAGTATTTGGCTTCCATCTCCTAGATCTTTAATTATCTTATTGATTATTACCACTAACAAGAATTTCACCCGGTGGCGTCGTTTATGCACCCATCTTGTTATATAACGGGGTTGAGCTGAAAAGAAAGGTGAAGCATCACATAATCGACGCTTTGAAATCTTTATATGATTATTGACTTTTGAATTACAATCACTAATTCATATATTTTTCCTCTATCAGGATAATCGCTACCTGTATTCCATAAAGCCAATTTGTTAATTTTACTCTGAAATACCGTATTAGCCACCCACAACTTGGCGTATCGACTTCAATTAAACCAAGGAATGTTTTGACGAAAACACGAGTGGCCCTTCTTTCAATGCCGACTCAGACCCTAAAGTCATTCAATTTAGGAAGATTTGTTTGCAATGTTCTATTTTATTAAAATGAAGAAGCCTCAGAGAGTCATTACATGGAAACAATTTGCTTTTCGTGCTTTTTTCGTGTTATTTTCATACCATCGCGTCGTGTAATGAGCATAAACAGTTCCTCCTTATTTTCGTTTCAAATCACGCTACAACACAATTGACGACTTAGTTGGCGAACGACCACTGTCCTCCTGAGAACCAACACCTTCCTGTCTTCAAATATCTCCTTTTCCTTTATCTTGTCGCACCTGCTTTGAGTAAAAGACACCAACAAAGTACTGGACCACGCTGCAAGGGCGTGACCTAGGGGCTCGACAGTCATCGCATGATGAGCATGTACTTACACGTACATGAAGAACATCTATCACTCGCGCGGTACAAAACTTTTGTAAAAGTTAAAATAAAACACAGTGACAATTGCTGTAAAACTTAAAACGAAAACTATCTGGTTATTTGATCAAACGGTACAGTTTCTTTTTCTTTTTTTACACAGTATAAAGAACGCTCTTGTCGTGTAATATAGAGTCCTCTCCGCCTCTGCAGAGGACCTACTTAATGAATGCGATTTTGCTCCACAACGAGTTGCGAGTCCAAAACAGTCAAATAAAGTTTCCATGAACTATGAAACAGGGCAAGTTGTCTTAGACACCTTGATTATGAAAAGTGCAATTGAAAAGAGCGATATGTTGTTCACAGCTCGAAATACGGTGGAATCATGCATTGTAAAGTTTAGGATAGAGACTGCTCGAAAGAAACTTTCCAAAATATTCGGAATACGCCAAAGATGACAGAAGATAAGAGATTATGAATGAGCACTAACATGAAAATAATTCTTCAAAATTCAGGAAAAGCGAAAGGGAAGTGTCTAATGCCCGTTGACAAATATATTAATGAAGGTATTATGTGTCTATCTATTCGTAGGCATTCAGAAAATTGACTTACAAAAAAACTTACTTACAAAAAGCAGATTATGTTAATACAAGACCAATTCTATTTTTAAGATTTATTTAATCTTTTGAGTAGTTTGACCTTCCTTCCAAGGTCACTTCGTCCTCCATAAAAGGCGCCACATCCAGTAAACATTAGAATCAACACTGTTCACAATGAATTTCCTTGTGATATTCATGTTGCTTCTTCCCGCGACAGTTTCTAGCTATGACATGAGAAAAAAAATCGACTATTGTGAGGACTGGAGTCGGAAGATCGTTAGGTGCAGAAGGCACATATTGGTTAAGGGGTATGGAGGTCCACGTAAATTTGTAAGGATAATGGTTCGAATAAGCTGGCGAAGTTTTCTGAGAAGGTACCGTTTCAATCCTAAGTTTCCAGACCTGCACGACATGTTCTATAAGGTCGACCAGAGAATTTGCCCACCCGATATATTTGCCTACACCTGTTCGCTGAACATCGCCACTTGTACTCATACGTTTCATATTGGTATGCCACTGAGGCCCTGCCGTGAGACATGTATGAATTTCGCAACCGCGTGCAAGGATAAGTACGTATCTCCTTCACTCCATATGACCGTTGGATTTCTGAGACATAACTGCAGATATCTTCCGTTCTATGACGATAAACTTTGCATGCAACCTGAAAGGCGTACAGGATGGCCCTATGATCCTTCATGGGATTGGTACAGTAAGTATTGAATATGTCTTACTTTGTGCTAAATTTCCGCCTTTCTCTACACTTGTCAGTGTAAACCTTGGGAACAATTTTTTTTGTTTGTTTTCCCCGGACCGTAGACTAGATTTTTGAAGATTTTTGTTTGCTCTTCCAAAAAAAATTAGGCAGTTTAAGACTGCATATGGCTACTGATATAACAAAATTTTTATAGCATTGAAAAGAAAAAAATGATGTATGATGGCGCTACAAGGAGCGTTACAGAAAACTTTTCTCACATGCAAAACAGAAAACCTACCGCATTCCATTGCAATTCCATTTTTGAGAGACTTTTGTTTCACACAACAAGGCATTCCGCGTCGTAGGGTATTCCGCCATCCCACCATTCCACTACCGTTCTATCTTTCCGTTTAATAGGATCACATTTTTCCGCGTAGTTGAATTTTCTGACCAGTTCCTCTGATACAAGCTCAGTGAAAGTTCGTTGAAACAATTTTAGCGGTCAGACATCTATAAGCGATATATTTTGGCGCGAAATATGCTCATTATGGAGTTCTCTCGCGAAATGTGAGTTTTCACCGTACTTGAGTCTGTCCTAACTGATCGACAGACACGACAGAAAAAACTGTATTCCTGCTAGCATAATTATATCTTTTAAAAGTTTGAAGTTATCGAACCTAAAAAGGTAAACTAAAAAGAAAAAGACTCAAAATTATTTTTTTTCAAAATTACAGATAGAGAAGGTTACCAATCATTTTGAATTTTGACAATCTTGAAATGCAATGGTGAACTGGTAATAAAGTAGAGGAATAAAAAACGTGTAAAATGGGAAAGGAAGATCTCTGCCACAACCCCATTTCAATATTGTAACAAACATTCCCTCAGAAGCGAAAAAATTTCTGCATGTCTAGTTTTATACAATGAAGTTTGGTTGTCATTTATACTAATTATTTTAAATTTTCTTAATTTTCAGTAATACGTAATTTTACGAAAGATTTTTATGAAGCCTTCTTTAGAAGCCAATACACTTTTGGTGAGTCATCCTTGATATACATATTTCAAAAACAATAGTTATCATTAACATATACTTCACAGGTGAATAGTGCTTTCCTCACGCACTAATCGGTTGGCTCGGAAGTCATTAGCTAGTATCTTTCAAATCAAAATCGCAAAATCAAAAAAATCGCATGTCAAAAATTTAATTTCCGACCATTTTTGGAATATTGAAAGAAATAAACTATTTTTTGGGTTTGTGTATGTTATATACTGAGACAATTATTCACCTCAGTGTCAGTGAAAAATTGTCAACTCTGGAAACGGAACAAATGAGAATGTAAACCACTGACCAACGCGATAAAACCAAATAATTATTTTTCATACCATGAAAACCAGACCCAAGAGTGTTTACTTAATGGAAAGATTCAGTGCCTTCGTTTTTAATGCCATTGTTATGGTCGACTATCATTGTGTCACCATGAGCACATATGCACATGTGTAAGTACTAACACCGGAATCTACGGTATCCAGTTTACGTTATTCACTACGAAGTATAACTGAATTGCGATATTCAGATATTCTTTTTAAAAAACATAAGCTGATTTATAACAATGTTAGAGATTCGGGTGGTGGGGGTCTTTCATGTAAATCGGTTAAGTTGCATGAGTGACCTTTTTGTTGAAGTTTGAGCGAGAGATTTTTGCGGCTGAAAGAAGAGGCGTCGGTCCACTTAGACATTGCAGTTGAAACCCAGTTGTCGCAAATTCCAATATTCTCATAGACTGCCAGGCACTGAATTATTAGTGTTGGCGTTACCAAAATCTAATGATAAAGATTATTCTATGAGCTAATCAAGACAACATCCCTATCATTTATCCTAAGGGACACCCTGATTTAACGTTGTATAGGGAGTGGGGCGGGTCTGGTAACTCTGTAACGGTAACGGGCTGAGATGTTGGTGGTGTTATTCTTGGTTCTTTCGTGCTATGAAACCTAAATGAATGCAGCTGACTATACTCCTCTTTAACATGTTTCATTTCAGCTTTCACAGGCAAAGTTATTTCCATAAATGAAACCGGTCGCCCTGACAACCCGTACGTGACCGCGCGAGTGCAAGTGACCAGACTTATTAAGGAAGATGAGAGCCGTTCTCTTTCACTAAAGGTTATGCAATTCTATGGCGGAAATCGGAGGTGCCCCACAAGAGGCACTTACGCTTGCTATAGGGAAGGGGGAGAATTTGGCTTCTTTGGTCACGATAACATGGTACAAGGATTGACAATAAGCTTTAGCCTGACACTACCGGATGAACAATTTCTCTTGGACATAGTGGAAACATTGTGGAGGACGAAATACAAGGTAACGCCTGAAGTTCAGTTTAGTTTAAAAGACCCATTTTCGATTACGGTATTACGGTACGCTTCGATCTGATTGGTCGTTGTGATTACTTTGGCCTCGGTTTAAAGACGTTTAATTGCAAAGCAGTCTAATTTGGCAACTGTAAGTTCACTTTGATTGCTCAAGATGACAAACTCAGGGGCAACTGAGATAACACGGGACTTTTTCCGCTAATTATAACACACTCAACAATGTCGACAAATTAACAACGAAAATTTTGAAATGGCTTATATCCCATCCACACCAGGCAAAAATGTTAAGGTTATTCGAGTTTTTCTGAAAGAAAATCATACACAGAGAACTGAAAAACTGAATTTTCCATAAGATTCAAGTAATCACTCTCTACCTTGTATTTTTAACATGCTAAATTTGGAGTCGAAAAACATTGGTTGAAGCAGCTTCTATGAGGATAACAAATTAAAAAAAAATAGCCCTATAACATGTTTAAGCTGTGGCGTGAAAGGGGCATTAAACTATATTCCAGCCCTATGCGGCAGTGGAAGGGGGATTTGAGTAGATGCAAATGGAAGGAGAATGTAAAAAACTCCTGTTAAGCTAACTGCATCTTGGTACTTTTTTAGGCTGAACTGGCGGAAATTTTAAAACAAAGACGCATAGAGGAAGAGATAAAGAGGAAGAAGGAGCAGAAGAAGCTGGAACAAAGGAGAAAAAACCAAAGGAAGAAGCCGAAGAAGAGCAAGGAGCAGAGGAAGCTGGAAATGATTATTTTGACAGCTTCGGGCAGGCAACAGCATCAAGATGGCGGATGAAGCTGATACTTGCGCAACTTCAGAGGACCCAGTCTACTATTTCTTAACCTTTTTTAGAAAAAAAATTTATCGCCGGGGGCAGGGGTGTTCAGTGACAATAACATTGATTTACACACAACGGTGGGTTATGTGCAATCGTTAATGTTGAAACTCTATGCAGGTAATTGTAATATAGTTTAAATTATAAAAGAAACACTCAATATCCTATAATCCCCCTTAATACTCAGTTAAAGACCACTGATCCCCCCACCGTTCTCCCTTAAAACCATGTAATTCTCCAAATCCTCCGACCCCCCGATCCCCCCGATCCCCGGCCCCCAGCCCCCAGCCCCCAGCCCCCAGCCCCCAGACCCCCGACCCCCCGACCCCCTGACCCCCTTCTTCCGAGGTGATGAATAGTGACTGGCCTTTATTAGATTACTTTTGATCATTGTAGAATAACGTAAAAGGCGTCAAATTTTCATCAGTTGTATCCACCGATTAATCATTGCGCAATTAGTTGTTTAAAAAATAGTTTGACTTCACGCGAACTTTACAAATCAGAGGCTTTTTAACGCCAAGAAGGGAAAGTCAGAAGACCTAGGAGAATACTTCTCAACAATATTTTACTCTATCTTTGAGCTAGATCTCTTTAAAGAAATTTTAATGTTTTTAGTTTTAGACGCCATATAAATTATATGTAGTCTTTCTTGCTGCTAATTGTAGTTCTTTTATTATCAAACAAACGTTTGCATCCCAAACGAAGTTTTCAGTTTATTCTTCTACAATATAGGATTGTGCCTGTACATAAAAACTCTAAGATAGCTTTATGACCCTACCCAAGAAAATATAAATAGTGTCTTGGCCCTACCTTAGATTTAAGATTTTACCTTTAGTTAAGATTGAGTACCTGAACACATGTATGCGACCAAAGAGTGCGTCACTAGTTGTACAGTTAGGCTGTCTCTCTGAATACAACTATTTCAATATGCAGGGCCATCTGTAAGGTCAGGTTTTCTTTGAGGGTAAAACTATGGATACTTTACATTGCATGACCAATTGTACAATTAGGGTCTCTTTGAGTGTAAAACAGTGGACATTTCAAGATGAACTAAAGGACTTGCTCTTTTGATTAAAAATGGAAGTGCAAGGTTACAGAAGCATCTCCAACGTATGGTGAAAGTGCAGCAATCAGTGCTTTTTTACATGAAACTGCTGGAGGAATATCTAACAATTCGGCGTAGAAATAAACCAAAGAAACCTAAGTAGATATCTTAGGCTTTACATTGAGGAAAAACTCGCATAAAAGGCCCACATACATGAGCACGACACTTCAATTACGGAGGCTTGCTTGGGATGGTCGTCTTACCAGCTGAGCAATAAACTTCAAAAAGTACCAAATCGAGCTACCAGAGTGTACAAGTTGTCACTTTGTTTTTAAGCTATGATATGAATTCAAGATACGTTTTAACTCGCTGGTTGGAACAAAATAATCCTTATAGGGGCTAAACAAAAAGCAAACTGAATGAAAAAGGGAGCTAACGATATAATTCCACCTTGATTCTATGTAATTTCTATCAGCCGAGAATATCGAGTCATATGTTCTCCTCGACGCAAAGGAAAGCAATCCCTTTCAAAACCAAGATCTTACCACCTGAAGAGGCGTTTTTCCTGCCTGAGGCACTCATTTTTTCTTTTTTTTTTTTTATCACGGAGGTGATAGGGGGAGGGGGAGGGCGGATTCTGGTTGTGTCAAAATAAACCCCCCTAACCCCCCCTGAGGCACTCAAGAATTCTCATTCTCCCCTCATTGGCATTCAATGTTCTTTAGTTTCCCCCACTCATACTCTGTTAGTGACTGATCCCCCCTCAATTCCCCCCAATAGCCATGTGCTTCCCTCCCCCGCAAAAATTAATTAAATCCTCCAATTTCTCTCCACTCCCCCCGATGAATAATGACGGGTCCCTAATTTCCTCAGTCTTCTTTCAAGAGAAGTATTCACGACGATTTTCTGAAAAGTACTTCCACACACAAAAAAATGTACTAGCCGGTTGTAAAGAATTTTTTAATTCCTGTTTTTTTTCTGACCGACAACTTTAGCCGTGTGTAGCTCGGTAAAGTTAGCTCATACATGTAAAAGATTGAACTATTATTCGACTAGCGTTCAATCAACAATTTCTTTTCCGTAGTGACTTGAGCAAACTCCGCTCTCTAGGTAATTGATGTCTGAGCTTACTCTGCAGTTAATGTACTTTGCGAAGATGAAACGACCCACTTTCTTACCATTGCCTTCTTTTGAATTTTTTTGTCGAGCATGGCCCTTACTAATGCGTCTTCGCTGGATAATCTGCGGTTAATTAGACGACATTTCTGTGAGACGTCACTTTTTCCCTCCAAGTCGACTACTTTTGCGCGAGGAAGATCTTTGTCGAATGTCACAAACATTCTTTTAGTTTTATTATCCGTCAAATTTGGTAAACTTTTGCTGCATTTGTCTTGAACTGTGGGTAGCGTAAGTGAATTGCTTGTTCCCCCGAAATAGTTGCTCGTGGTTGGACGAAATGAAAGAGAGCTGTACCTTTGGGGCATCAAATTTGGCGTCACACAACCTGCGCGAATTGTTGATCTGTCTTCGCTGACGTTGACAGTCTCTTGTAAAGCACAGTCTAGTTGGGTGACAACTCGGGTAGCGAGGTATTCAGTAGATGCAACATTCATTGCAAGAGTTTCTGTAGATGCCACTGGTGAGTGCGATCTACTTAGAATGGGAGATGACCTAGTGGAGGAAATTGTCAAATTATTTCCCTGTTTTCCGGGAATATCAATTCGTTTTTTGTGTAATTTTGCATTATTTCCTCTTGCCTTGCGTCCTTTCTCCAGGAGTAAAGCATTTAACACCTCATCATCCGAAGACTTGATTTCGGAATCACCTTCGACTTCAGGGGAGGGCACCCCTGGGAAATGCGTGGGAAGTTTAACTTTGCATTGTCTTCCTGATAGTAATGGAAGCTCACGTGGTGAACCTGAGGACATCATAGATGAAATAGGATATGAGCCTCTTCGTAATTCAGGGACTGAAGATAATGGAGGAAAACTTGCATTAAATAGTTCAGATGACTTCCTTCTGGCATTCATTGCTTTTCCATTGATCTTCTCTTCCCAAATTCTGGCTGGAAAGTCTGCGGTTAAAAGGAATTTTTCATTCAATTCCCATGCAGATTTAACATTGGTTTTTTTATTTTCTTTCTCTTCTATTATCTCTACTTCTTCTAAGGGAAGAATAGCAATTGTGTTCCTGGAATTGTCTTTCTCCGTTTCCTCGTCAACCAAATCACTTTCTTCTCGATTTTCAATGCCTTGTATCCTTGGCGACCCTTTGTCAACTGAAATTTCCAAATCACTCGAATTGCTCTCATTTGAAATCTTCCGCATCAGAAATTGATCGTTTTCGTTTAATTTCTCTAAACTTGAAAATTCTTCATCACTTTCAAGTTTCACTTCCTCTGCAAAATCAGTAACGGCTGACGTTGGTCGAGAATTTAAAGATATCATGCTGAGAGAGTCATCAATGCTTTCCTTGTCAAAACTTCTTAGCTTTCGAAAGTCGCATCTCGCAACTTTTAGCTCTCCTTCACCTTGCATTTCATTAACATGCTTTTCTCCGGGGAAACTGTAAATTTCTGAGGCATTTCTTTCAATCGCAGTGTTTTCTTGAATTTCTGCCTCGTATCTGAATGTATTCCCTTCGTTTGTCGCTGCTTTTGTCCTGCTAAATCTTTTCTTGTTTCTGCTGTCATCACTCTTCCTTTTCTTATCCTCTACCTTTGGGTATTTCCTTCGAGTTGCTTTTCCTACTTCTGTTTGCTTCAACATGATCAACGTTTGTATCCTTATTCCCTTTAGATGAAGTCTTCCGCAAATCTGTTGAAATATGTGTTTCGTTTACACATGAGCGATACAACTCCTTGTATTGCTTCTTATGACCGTCAAAAAATATCATACTATTGAATTTAAACGATATAAAGTATCAAATATTGGACCTTTACTTACAATTATCTCAGAATACGTATTTTGAACGAAATTTTTGGCGACGCAGATCGAGGAAACCCATTAAATGTTTCGCATGCTGTCATCATTTTGAGTGATCATTGTGACAGGTGAAGCAGGTGACTAATTTTTTCCCATAGTGTTATTGCCTTGCACCTCAGATGCTAAGACCTCGTTTCAACCAATAATGATCACTCTCTTGGTCATTACGACACCTTCAAATTATTCCTTAAGGAGTTTATATTTCAAGGTATTGTCGGTCGTGTATGTTGTTATCAGCTGGCACAAGGAGTTCGCGCATACCCGCTGAATATCGCTAATAACGTATTGACTTCAAAGTTATGCAAATCAGGGAGAATGTTCTAGCACACGCGTTTGTGTTAAATTCCCAGGAAGATATCATTTACATTTTGAGGTTTTCTAAAGGACAATGGAAACTGAAAGAAAATATAAATAATAAAAATAAGAAGGATCAAACGAAGACACTGATGAGTTATCAGCATAACTCCATTGACTTCAATCTAATTTCTCTAGATTCAACTCAAATCAACTTAACTCCAAAAACTTTGAGTTTTTTATGGACGAAAACTCAACTTTCGATCGATGTCATTAATACGTTTGCTTCTTCGTTTTCCTTTCTCTATATGTTCATTGTCTCTTTCAGTCTTTTAACTGTGCGAAATTCTTAAAGTAAAAATTGATACAAGACAGTTTATCAGTTTAGCTTTGGGCAATTTCGAACAAAGTTGACGATCCTTAAATGAATGTTATTTAAAAAGCGATAGAGAAAGATATGGTTAATAATAAGCAACTTCATTTTTTCAATTCAATTCTGTCAATGAAGACAAAGTGAGTGGAAGATTACCTTGGCTTGTAGGCTCTAATTATAACCCGGGCATAAACCACCCGGCGTGCAACAAAAAAGCACTGCTTGATTTCAATTTTATCCTGGGCTTATTTAGTATCTCTGTTTCAAAAATTTGAAAATAGTCAGGACTACCACCAACGTCAATCATTAGTCATGATTTAAACAGAAGATACACATTTGACACATTTGCTATTCAAGAGGAGGCTGATTGATTAATTTGTATAACTAGCACAGGAGTTTCATTTGCCAGAAATGAACTTCATAATGAAGTAGGTTTTGGAGTCAAAGGATGCTTTCTCAAAGAGACAATTATGAGATAGCGTGTTGTAAAAGCCACTTCATCAAAGATATCTCAATAAGACCAAATTCAAAGTGGAGACCTCGTTTTAATTCTCAAAAAGGATTCCTAAATACTATCAGAGCGACTAGTTGGAATACGAATTGTGCGCACTAATATCACTGTATACCATTTAAGAAAAAATAACTCAGGTATATAAGTATTATAAAAAGAAAACCGTTGCAAAAAAAAAAACAGCTCCGACAACTACAGAAATTTGCTGATAATGAAGAATATAAGTAGATATAAAAAAATAAAATTATTCCTTCTAGGAAATAATTATTAGATAGTTCTTCTGATGCACTTCGAAATCAAATTTCAGTGACTGTTGTTTGGAGACGAGAGAAAAGTTAGAAGATCATATATATTACTTATGATACCTGGGAGAAAAATTATTAAGGGTAGCAACATAGCTCATCCTTGTTACACCTGTTAATCTCAAATTGACCAATCGTTGATTAAGTCAGACATTGTTACAGATTATTTCTGAAAATACACACTGAACATTTTTTAAATATCAATAAAATTTTCTCACCTAAATTGAATTTCATTTCAACAGTTAAGTCTATTTTTATGTTGTTTCAGTGCCTCTCTTTATCATGTAGCCTATCGCAAAGCTGGGCTCTGTTAAAGCACAAGACTGGCCAATCAGAAGTAACTTCTAATAAATATGGCCATTTACTTTGAAGGTCTATGAAATGACTGAAAATTTTTTATCTCGACAGTATGCAAACAGCTTGAAGCAGAGTAAAACACCCTACTTGCAGTCATCCAATAGATTTGCTACGTTTTTTACTGATTGAAGCTGCTGAAAACCACCCCTAATGACTCAGGTGTTCTAAGTCATTTTGTGTGACTCATTAACCAATAAATTTTGAGCGTAACTATAAGTACAAGACCTTCTTTTCCAACGTTGCTTTGTAAAGACAATTTTTAGGAACTTTTAATTAAGTGGTTTTAATGAACGTCTAATGAACAGTTTAGGTATTGATCTGAGGGAACTTTGACAACAATTTAAGCGGCCAATCTAGAGGCGATGGAGAGGCGCGATTTTAAGAATCTTTTAGGATGGCTATTTTAAGGATCTTTTAAAGTGGCGATTTAAATGAGCACTAAAATACCATCTTAATTGGATTTGAACTGTCATCTGTCAAACACTCTAAAATTTATAAAGGGGGTAAGTTTCTAAAGAAACTGTGGCGCTGTGTCGGTGGGAGTATAGCAGGTAATTTAGTGTTAACAACTGAGTTAAAAACGTAAATTTGCCATAGTAAACAGTAAAAAAGCAGACTTTTTGAGCGTTAGCCCTTCGTCAGAGCGATTGGAGGAGGATTGTGGGTTGTGTGTGGGCTTATATGCAGAAAGTGAAGCTACGCTATTGGTGGGAGTATGGTGACGAGAAAACAAGAATAAATTAGTTGAATGAAAAGCGCTCGTTGATAGCTGTTAACTGTCGAAAACGGTAGTTTTTTTTACTGTCAACCGCCAAAAAAGGAGTTCAATAGTAAACGCCAAATGGCGTTTACCACGTTAAAGGCACCTAGAAAGTGGCGAATCAAAGGAAATTTAAAAATTGAAATTTAAGGAAAAAAGCTAAAAATTTGTCCTCTCCTCGGAACGTGACGAAAACAGATGATGAAGAGTTGCACAAGATTTGCATATTGCTTGCGTTTTCAATAATTGTCTAACTATTAAAGGGAAGAATTATACAAGTCTAGCTTACCTTGGTCTTATTCTTTCTGCAATCGATCCCTAACGAGGAATGCAACCCTCAAAAGAGAACTGATCTCGTTGGTTGGTTTAGCAAGTAGAATGTTTATAGGAAGAGATATAAGTCTTGCAACCGAGGGTTGGACTTTTTTCAAAATGCAAACAGACGTTAAAACTCAGCGTGGGCGCACCAGATGTTGGCCCCTATAATTTCAATAGATTATTCCCGTTTCAATTAAACAAAACACCTCAGGTGTTGTTTTATACCATGTATACAACTGCTAGGAAAGACAGGAAACGCTGAGCTCATAACGATTTTCATCATTTTTATCGAAGAGAGTTTAAAATCTTAAGGGATCTTAAAATAAAGGTTTTTCTATTGGGTTGTATACGCAATATCATTTACCAACTCAAATTTAGAATTTATTTGTAATTGCATGCAATGTAGCTTGAGGAAAGAAATACGTTGTCTTTCCAGTTGAACTGGCTTTGTGACATTTAACTTTTGAGACAATTTAAGACTATGGTATTCGATACCTTTTCACTGAGAACAAACCTCATTGACCTCAAAACTTTGGTACTCTGCACAAAAGTAATTTCAATTTTGAAGCAGAATTTAATCATCCACTAGGCATTGTTTTTATTTCGGTTTCCCTTTTGTCGGGACTCAGCTCTTGAAACTTTTCACCAATCAAATATTAAGGAAGGTAGTTTAGAAATAATTTTAGGTTGCTCTAAAAATGTTTCATTCATTTCCATCCAAATGATTCTCTTCAACTTAACTCCACGAGAAATTCGATCAGCAGCTTGGCAGAAGAGTGAAAAGCAATGCTATCGATCCCAGGCCTCTCCCGATACAATCAATGTACAATTAGCGGCGTTGATGTTTCTTATAACATTAGCATAAAGCTCTTGTGCAGCAAGCAAACTTGCTGTCAGGCTATTGGTCACAACATAACGTCTCCAGCACATCACCTGGTAATTGAGCTGGGCACTCAAGATGCTATTTATAAATATATATATAAGTATATTTGTTACTTGATCTAATTCATTCCACAATTGATTCCTAGCGAGCGATGCAACCCTTCAAGAGCCAACCCTTCTCCTTAGTTGTTAATGGAAAAAAAATCTCCCTTTTCTCAATTGCTGCTGAAAAAATGGATTCTTTAAATGTAGAATTTTTTAAAACTGACCGGATACATATTTTGCTTCTTCAAAACATCAATCTTCTTGATTCATATGGGACTGACCAGTAAAAGTCGGATCCGGGAAACTATGCAAGAATTTAAAAAACAAAATTTTGAAAAACAGGGGCAGCGTAACGGCAATTGAATTGAGTCCTCCGAATCAAAAGAGCAGAAAACGACATTTTTTTATGAATGTTATGATCTTCCTCATGCCGCTTTCCTGAGTAAATGATCGATGCTTAAAAAGGAAGCTACCACCAAAATAATTAATAGATTTATCACAAGGTAAATCTTGATGTGGCGTCCTCTCGGCTGTCGTCAATGATAAAAATCAAGCAGATGCCGGAATTAAGCTTATTTTATTCTAAGCTGCTTCGGTGTTTATCAACTTCAAGAGAATGTTCTAAGATACTTTATCCGGTAAAAGCTCGAGAAGGTACAGTTTGGTGGTTGTTTCGACGGGATCTAGTTTAGTCTTATACAAAATCTTTCTGTTTCATAGCGATTCACTTTACAATCTGGCGTCGTTTTCAAATAACCGTGAAAGTTGCCCTTTCAACGAAAAATTGTGGTTTCTGATGAACAATGTTGTGGTTTTGGCATTATTGCATTATATTGTAAGCTTAACTTAATGAAACTGAAGTGGCAAACTTAATGAAAATGAAGCCGGTACCACCTTGAACAACATTTACTAAATTAATCTATATGTACAGCTTTAGGAGCTGTGGAATATATTGCAATAGTAAGCATGCATTATTGAAAAAAGTACAACGTAATTTTTTTACTTTTCATTAGATGACAGCTTCTTTTTTTTGTAAGGATTTGTCACGCGCTAGTGTTAAAACACCGACTACTTGCTGAATCACTAATTACTTCAGTAAGCAAAGGCGCTACAGAGATTTACATGATTCCCTAAGAGGCACGTCATAGTTTGCGAGTCTTGCGGAAAGGTTATAGAAAGTTTGGCCTTGTATTTCTTTATTCCAGCTCATTGTCCTCTTCACTTTTTGGCCCCGTTTTCAACGACTTCAGCGACCTCCCACCTTAAGAAAAGATGACATACAAAATTACCATATATCTAACATATTCTCTACGTTTGACACATATTTATCAAATATATCGTGACTTCTCAAAGAGAGCCATGCTTGAAATTTCCGATTTGGATCTTCAGTTCGGCTCAGGAGTAGTTGAAAAGCTAAATTAGCCTATTATATAAGGCCAAAGTAAATCGTATTTAGTTGCTTAAACATCTTGACTTCCTGATAGCTTTGCATCGAGCTTACCAACTTCTTTACTAATCTGAAAGCATGGATAATTTTCCAAAGATAACACAACGTACTCATCAACTCCCTCAACAAATAAACCATGCTTTGTGTTCAAAGGAGTTTTCATGACAGTATCCGAATAAACTGAAGCTTATTATATTTTGAACCGATTCGTAATTTACATAATAATGCGCTTGTTGAAGCGAGAATTACATCACCGTTAATCATTTGTGTCATTCTTTAAACAGAACAAGATGAAAGTGATATAGCATTTATGTTTCGTCAAATAAACCAACAGATACAAGCTCACAGGCTCCTGCTATGGCACATCGTCAAAGGAGGACAAGTGTTGCGGGAGTATTCAATATAGCGATCGAGGCAAATGACCTTGCGCAACTCAAATTTGCATTGAAGTTTCACAAAGCGAGGATAAATGAACAGGACGAGAAAGGGAGCACAGTCCTGCATCGCAGCTGCCTCTCTGGTCAGTTAGAAATGGCTAGGTTGTTGGTGGAAAATGGAGCGGAGTTAGAGCTGCGAGATGAGCGCGGATGGACTTGTTTGCATTACGCAGCTTTTGGCGGACATGTCGACGTAGTAAACTTTCTAATTAACTCTTGCGTGGATGTAACAGCAATGTCGCAAGAAGGTCAACTTGCTATAGATGTCGCAAAAGGAGAAGGAATAGTTTTCCTTTTAGCTTCAGCGATTCTTAGAGCTGGAAAAGAGCATCTGCTTCTACCATACATGGACGGGTCAACATCAAGCTTGGAAACTGAGAGTTTACATTCCAGTGGTGATGTTGAAAACTGCGAAAATTGGACTCCAAAAGCTAAGAGAGCTCTTTCTGAGGAAGTTTTACGCGCAAGTCAGCAGTTTCTTGCACAGAGCTTTGGTGCGTATGTAGATGAGAAATTCAACTTAAATTCAAGTTTTGGCAAAAGTGGCGATAAGAGTGACGAAAGCCTTCACGCTGCTCCCGAGAAACCAAAGCTCACAAAGAAAAATTCATGCCCTCGTGTCAAGAATGACCCACAACCAGAAGAGGCACCTCGGAAGAAACCCCGCTTGAAAAGTTTTAATTCGGCTTTCTCTAGCGATGTTTTGAAGCGTTATGCTGTAAGTGAGACAAATTTGTTGGGAGAGCAAAGCGATCTAAGTCAGAAGGAAACTGGTGCGGAAATTAGTCGAGCTCCGAATTATTCAGACCTGAATAACGTGGACTCAGAAACTTGGATTTATTCGCTGTGACGACAAGAAAGAAACAGCGGGCGGGAGGACCAGTGGCGACAATTTATTTCTAATATCACGGATAATGAACACACAGAAAAGTGTATCGCAGCATGAAAAGCGGATACAACTACTTTACAACATAAAGGACTTCTTAGGATAACAAGATTTAAGATCTCAAAGCAGGCCGCTGAAACATTACTTCACCAAACACTATCTCCTTTTGTTTGACGTTTGTAAATAAGTTAATGAAGACATGAACTAACACTTCAATCAAAGCATTTCTTTAAGAGCAGATGAGTTCTAGTTTGTTACTTAATCGATGTGTTAATTTTGCAGTTCTATTTCCATAGTTCTAAGACATAACATGTATGTTTTGTTTTCAGTATGTTTGGTTGCCACGGATAATGGAGGAAGTATTAGAAGCCTACACCTGGCTTTTGAGTTAAACACATTTCTTTTCTATATTTATAAAATATTCCAGAGAATCGACATGTTTTTCATGAATGCATCAGTTAATTGACGTCGATAGTATATTGAAAACATAATTAACATTAATAGTATAAAGCATGTGGGCTTTATTAAGATGTATTAATCAAAAAGGAATTCTTTCGTGCCTGTCATATCAGTACAGTGTAAAAAATAAAGCAGGAGATTGTATTATCAACCAAAATTGTACCATTCAGCCGATGTCAGTCTTTATTCTCGTCAACTAGTTTCGAAATTAAGTAAAGAAATTCTTACGAGAACTCACAGTTGTTTAGTAAGAAAGGGTCACTTGACTGACGGCATGAGATGGCCGCGCGGAAGAATTTAATATGACGAATGTCAAGTCATGGTGATATTGTTTGGTCGAAGACGTTGCTTCTGTGTAATGCCGTGATTTGTGTCGCAAAAGCTATAGAATTTCCTACATTTTGCCTGTGGCATCCCTTAGCTAAACAAAATGACGGTTTATTGAAACTCTTCATATTGGGCAAGACATCCAATAAGGATTTCAGCTGATAAGATATGAAGAAAGCATTCAACTCAAGTTTACGTAGTTACTTGTTCTCACCAACTAATGTCGCTGTTGTATAATTTTTCAATGCCCTATTAATACTCGCACTGAGTTGCATTTGATTATAGCAAGCCTGAAATGGCCCATCAAAGTGTCATCATTGTTCATAATTTACGGCATGTTGAACTACCCTGTCAGTTGTGTAGATCTAGGCATGTAGGCATCTCAATCCATATGAAACATTTTGTTTAAAAAGAAATCAATCGCTGGCTACAATAAACGACCGATATAAAAGACACACCCGTCCGATTTCTCTTCCCCAGCGATGGGCGCGATGATAAAAGCAAATTATTTGGATCCCTTTACCTTAATTTCCTGAGGTAATTTGAGTTGCCTTGCAATCGATCAAAAGTCAGCCACCCCTTAAACCAATTAGAAGCGGACCTAAAACAAATTGCGACTTGTTCACTTGTGTTTTCCTGTGCGCTTCAAGTAGTTTACTTATTTCTACTTTTAAGTTATTGTTGGCTAATGATAATGTTAAATTTTCTTGGGCTTGGGGAACATTTTGGTTCGGGCGCTTCGACACTAAATAGAAAATGGGTTTGAAGTATTTTGGGGGAATCTCTATGGAGCTAAAAAGATCATCAATTTAAAAGAAGTATATAATTTTGGTATGATACAGAAGAGAAACACTTAAGAAATGCGCCTAGATCAAAGGGGGCAAAAAGATTGATTAAGGATGTGAAGGACAGAAAAGGAATGAAAATTATAAAATTGAAAATCTGAGCTAAATTTTTCAAGTTGCTGCGAAACGTGACGAAATACGCGGATCAATTGTTTTTAAAGGAACTGTTGTCCTGCGTTGGTAGGCGAGCGAGACAGTTTTTTGTTATTAACAAGCAGTTGATAAAGGCAGATAAATCGTTACGGTGAGATTCGAAATGCTATCGTTTTAAGCCGGTCAACCCTTTGTCGCGGAGCTATTTGGTCCTATAAACGGGTAACACTCGAGACCATGGCGACTCAGCCCTTTTTTTAATTCGCCATGGTGGTTTATAGGTGGTTTTCAACTTGAAGTTGATGGCTCACTTAGTAGCTCAGCAACCTCCTGACCTCCTGTAGAAAGTCACGCAGATATATTTGAATGACGAAGTGTGTGGGTGACTGTGAGCGTCAATGTCGCCGGTGTGTGCACCTGCGAGGTAAGAATTAGCATTCTTTTACACAGGAATGTAAACACATATATGTTAAATATAGCAACTCGCGCACAATACGGGCTGAGCTCGAAGCTCCCCGCTAACTTTCAAGTTTGCAGGCAGATAAAAGTTGAAAAGCTTTGTTTTTTCTTCGAAAGTTGAAAAAGGCTCTATAAGACTTGCAATGATTATAGTTTTCTATTATTTTCGGTGTTTGATAATGATCTTGCAACGGAGAAGCTAGCCTCGCATTCAGATCCTATCGTATAATTGTAAGTGACCGTAGAATTGAAGGTTTGGGCACGAGACTAGACTGCCTGTTAAGAAGATACTTCGGCAAGCAGGTGAGTTTGAATAGTTGTCAGATATACATTTAACATACTGGTATGTTCAAACCTCAGCACTAGGGAGGAGAAAGCTTGTGCCTCTCTTAATCGTGTCTATTATGTAATCTGTGCAGAGGTACACTAAGATACTGCTGGAATACTTAACATGTTGTGTAAAGGCATTATGCAGTATTAAATTATAATAAGAATTAAGCGCAAACAATGGTCTGCATACTGTCGTGGTCTTATCCCACAGTCATGTTATGAAAAAAAGGGCATAACAACTTATTATTTGGGCGCACGTTACGCGTCACTCATGGAAGGGAGAGTTATCGGTGTAAAGATTTTGTTTCTGGAAATGTATTCAATTCAAGAAGATAGTATTACTATAACGCTGAATTTTCCATAACTCTCACGAGGAAAGCTGACTAAAACCTGGAGGAAAACTGCAATTCTACTAACTCTTAGCTAGAACACCTGGTTCCCCCTTAGGGGTTGACTAAGTGAGCGCGATTATGGCAAAAATGTCAACAATGATAAAAAAAAATGGGAATGAATGTATTCTTAAACTACGAGAGAAGTACTTTTCGCAAGAAAAATCAGACATTCGGATCAATATCAGTATCTGGGCAACTGCCCAACTACCCTTCCCCTAACCTAACAAGTTAGGGTTAATGCTGGGTTAGGGGAGGGGAGGGGTAGGTGGGCAGTTGCCCAGATACTGATATTGATCCAGACATTCTAGGTCGATCAGCTTTACGTTTGACCACTTTCTTCTTTTTCTTTCTTTCGTTTTCCAACTCCGTGAAGAATATCATTGCAATTTTTGATTTTTTCTTTGTGATTAGTAGTGTAACCAGGTTAGTTAACACTTTTCTCGGGGTATTGTACTGCTGCAGTAGATGAGGAATACGTTTCCACATATTTTTTTGCCACTTATACACAGTTTTTTTGGGTGGTTTTTCGTATCTGGCGTAGCACAGGATAATTATGCTTGAAGAACCCCTAATTTCACTGTACGCATATTGATATTGGATCAGGATGCGTATACTAAGTACTGAGACCGACTGACGCATCCAAAATATACTTTCCACATTAAATGTCTTGTGTTAGTGTAGTCAGAATCTTTTTATTATTTCGTAAGTCATAAAAGTGAAATATTACGGAGATAGATACGGTACATTTTATTCCCTTCCTCGGTAGCTTATTTACTCATATCTCCACCTGGGTCAATAAAAGACTTCAATTCCCTTTTTAGAAACAATATATAGAGCGATAACTGACAAACGACACAATTAACTACTGCAAAGGCAGAGAGGCAGAAACCACAAACATTAATTCGACTTATAGAAATTGAGCGAGTTTTGACATAGCTCGATAACGGCGCGAAATGCTGCCTGTTATGTTGCTACCGATGTTTATTCTGGGTGCTTCCTTCACTGTTCAGGGCAAGCCTTATCAGAGGAAAGAAAAGGTGAGTTGGTGATAGAATCGAAAACTAATCGAAGTTGTATTGCTGATAACGATGGCTTGTCATTAAAGATAGAGTTAGATTTCAATTTGTAACTGTGTTGAGAATGAAAATGGAGATCTGATGGCTTGCATGCCGTAGAGCTCATCAGCAGTATCCTCTGTGGAGGGCTTCGTAAGCTTTATGCCGCGTATTTACTGAGTTTATCTTTGATCACAGAGAGTGAAATTGGGATTATCGGGTCAAATCCCTTAACTACAAAATCAGCTTAAGTTACAGCTCTGCGTTGGGCGATTACTTTCTCAGCAGCATGGTTACCTTACCTTTCACAGAAAAAAGGGAAAGCATCAGATATAATAGGGTGAAATCACATTCATAACACACCTAACCGAGAATAGATTGTTCAAAACAGTTGAAAGGTTTGTTCCGTACTTGGTCTCAAATATCCAAGAACTAGGTTTGAGTAGTTAATGGCTTAAAAAAAGATCAAATCTCGTTATAGAATGATTTAGAGCGTAAATTTAGCAAAATTTGCCGTTTAAATTTTCGAACATTTAAGTAAAATATCTTAGACTTGTTTGATCTTTTTTAGGATATATTGGTGAGAGTTCATAGAGCACCAAAGCAGAAGAAAGCAGGTATCGTTAATGTTTAATAGCTTGTTTGAACAACTGTATACTTTAAATAACTTTGAGTCAATAATAATTACGCCACGACATCTTCTACAACACCAGTAACACATAACTCATCACATATGCACAGCTGAAATCACATTTGTACCTGCTTCAGTATTAAATACAAACAACAAGGCATTCAGTTTTATCTAAAACTGATATAAGCAAGCAATATAGAAGTACATTGTGATTGTCTTTAACTGTATCATTCTAGAAGAGGCATTGACATCTGACAACTTGGTTTTATGAACTGAGCTGGAAATGTAAATTGGCCTCCGTAGAGAGTTTCTAAAATTTAGACTTATTAAAATTTATCAAACTGGTTGCAGCAGATCCTTTTACCTTTCAGAAAAAAATTGTGTGCGAGTTTTGCAAGTTTCTCTTTACCGCTTGACAAACTTAATACATATAGGCAGTCGAACTGAGTAAAATGAAACAGTGGAACTTCAAATCGCACGGATTCTCCAGTTTCTGTGATTCTAACTTTTTGTGGCTTTTTACGGCCCCATCATACGTCAACGCGAAGACAAAAACAGCCAGCTACGCCGACGAGACTGGTTTGGTTACCGTATACTGGTCTAGACGGGGGGAAGGGGGAGGGGAAGAAGGGGGGAGGGGAGAATAAATACGCATCGGTAATAACTTTTCAAGGGTAGCAAAACTCGGTGAAAACGCACGCTCGTGGTCCAAAAGTTTTTCAAGTCACGATAATGATACTGTATCTTTACGCGCAAAACTTAAATTGTTTTGGAGTTGTGAACAGGTTGCACAAGGTTTACACTCCTTTAAGTAAATGATTTGGGTGACATCATTTTATTTACCTCCAGATTGCGGTAAACAGTTGACGGGCTCCAACGGTTCAGTGACGTCACCCAATTATCCGGGACCTTACCCTACTGACGTAACATGCGTCTGGGTTATTTCAGTTAAGCCGTCACAAGTGATTGAACTAGAGTTTAAGTCTCTTGATATAGAGTACAGCAAAAAGTGCAAATATGACAGTTTGGAGATTCTGGATGGATCTACGGTAAATATATCGATAAATAATGTATTGAAACGTGTTTACATGTTTAATTTGTGCTGCGTTCAGCAGGAGTAGATATTTACCGTCTCCGAGACTTTGAATCTCTTAATTTACCAATAACGTTGTTTTGAACATCAAAAGAGCATGTGATTATGATTTTCATCAATTTTACTCTTTGTAGTCCAAGTCAGCCGAACTGGAAACATTCTGTGGCTCGACAACTCCTTCACTTGTTCGCTCTTCTGGAAAATCATTGCACATTACTCTGAAATCGGATGAGGCTGATACAGGGAAAGGTTTCCAGGCAGTTTGGCGGGCAGTCGCTAACAACATGAGTGAGCCCATTGTTGAAATTGTAACCATTGCTTGTCATACATAATATCAATTGGCTGCTGTTATCGTCTAAGACTAGTTAACGACAACGCAGATAAAAGAAACGCTCCCTTTCATAGTCTTTCATCATGGTGCTGTTGTCTTATCTTTCTCTTTACCTTTGTGAATTTTAAGTATCTTGACAGTGTTCGTTCGTTCCGTGCAGTTTGAACATGTTTGGTCTTCCGCACGTTTATCTACGCGTGACCAACCTTGTGAGGAAAACTTGATATCAATCTTCTCGTCTGTTTTGGAAATTTACTTGAAACTCACCTGAAAGTCACATCATGGTACATTGTTTATTCCACATAAAATAATCCCTCAGAGGATAATCCCCGTTTCGGTTTTTCTCAAATCTTCCATAAGATGAAAAGCTAGCAGAGATTACAAGAAGTAGGTTCTTTTAATTTTTCAAAAGGGTACTCTCAGTCGTCATTGAAGACTTGACTGGAAGTGAGAAGATTTCATTTTGATGGTTTTTTTTGTTTTGTTTTGTTTTTTTTATCCAAAGAGTGCGGGGCTACATTCACTGACGAGAACGGTAGTTTCCAGACTCCTGGATATCCCAATCAATACCCCACTAATATCGAATGCGAGTGGGTGATAACTGTACCCGTCGCTCACTCTCTAACTTTGACGTTTAACAAGTTTGATATGGAAGAAAGTTCAAAATGCAAATACGACCATGTAGAGATCAGGGATGGTGACAAGGCCTCTTCGAATTTGATCGGTTTGTATAAGTGTGATAAACATTGCTGTGCACGTTTGAAATTATCCATGGTTAAGCACATAGCTATTTATAGACCAACTTTCCCCAAACTCCAGCGAACACATGTTTCTGTAAGTATGTATGATTAATATTTCCATTTACGTGTCTGTACCAAAATGAAGAACGAATTCATCCCTTTTTTTTTCTTTTTTCTTTTTCGATTCACTGTTAAAATCTGCAATTGGAAGCTATTTCCCGTACCAAAGTATTCTATATTTCCAGGCCGTTACTGTGGTTCTAGCCTTCCTGCTAAAGTGTATGCGCAAGGAACCTCATTGTATATAAAACTTGCCTCGGATGAATCAGACACGGGAAAGGGTTTCCAAGTGTCTTGGACCAGTAAGCACCTAGGTGGAAATACAGGTTTGTTTTATTATTATATGTAATTAACTTACGTAATTTTCTTTCACAGAAGCTGTAGGCTCTCTTGCTAACTCTTCGCTTTTGAGTTGTCTTTGGGGTAGCTTTAAATCTATTAGGCTGATTTCAATGAAGTAAAAAAAAAACACGAGTCAGTGGCCAATTCATCCGGTGCTTATGTTACTGTAGTTTAAAGTGACAAAGAATATTGCTTTTCCTTCTGGAGGGATGCTAGTCCATTTTACATGTCCACCCTGCCCCTCACCCCCTCCCGCCTCAGCCTCCTCAGCATTTAATAAGGCTTCAGGAGAGGTTTGAGGGCACTCACGGGTGGAGAGAGTCCGCTCTTCAGAATTTTAATCGAAAATGCCCTCTAAACAGGTCTGCAATTGTGTGGAACCAGTAAGACAGGAACAAGGATTGTCGGCGGTATTGTCGCCAAGCCTGGTGCGTGGCCCTGGCAAGCTGCCATGATCTGGGCGTTGGGGTCCGACAAGGGGAAGCAGTTTTGTGGTGGATCTCTGGTGGACCCCGAATGGGTCCTAACGGCGGCACATTGCTTTGATATCACTGCAAACAAGAAAATGATGTTTATTAGACTTGGTTGGTGAAACTACTTAAAAACCTTCGTCTCTATATTTTATTCGTTTATTTTTGGCAACGGCTAATTGTTGCCTGGCCCTGTAAGTGGCGTTAATAAGCCATGTGCGCCAGTTTGACTTTTCGTTTCCATGTACATCATGCAGCAATTCGCGCTCTACTCTTTGCCCACCACCCGCTGAGTTATGATATCGTTTAACCTGTTGGACGATTTTCATACCGAAATCTTCTAGTGATTAGTAGTGGTAATGAGGTTTCCATGTCTCTCATAGGAGAACACGACTTGAATAAAAAGGAGGGATTCGAGCAGGATTTTGCAATCGATCACATTTACATCCATCCAGATTGGGATCATCATACGACGGACAATGATCTGGCCTTAATACGACTCGACCGACCTGCTAATCTCACTGGTCGCGTAAACACTATCTGTTTGTCTGAACCAGAGTATAAGTTTCCACCAAGTACAAAATGTATGATTAGTGGTTGGGGTACTACTCAGGAAGATGGCGCTCCTTCGCCCGTACTCATGCAGGCCAAGGTACCAATAGTAGATCGCCAGGCTTGTCGTCATAACCAATCATATGGGGAGAAAATCACTGAGAACATGATCTGTGCCGGGTTGCGTCAAGGAGGTGTTGACAGCTGTCAAGGTGATTCTGGAGGACCACTTGTATGCAAGAATCCTGTAAATCGTCGGCAGTGGGTACAGATTGGAGTAACCTCCTGGGGAAAAGGATGTGCCAGGGCTTTGAAGTATGGGGTCTATGCTAACATCAAGAAGTATCTCCCGTGGATCAACTTCTTAACAAGTACTATTGGAGGAGGTGAGGGTGGAGATGATGTGTCAACACCTATTCCCACCCTACCACCTAGTCTTCCACCCATCCCATCAAGTCTCCCGCCGAGCCTTCCACCTCTCCCTCCAAGTCTTCCGCCTCTCCCACCCAGTCTTCCTCCTCCCCCTCCAAGTCTTCCGCCTTCATTACCAAGTCTTTCACCTCTCCCACCAAGTCTTCCACCCGTCCCTTCAATTCTTCCCCCACCCCCAACAACTTCTCCACCTCTCCCACAAAGTACTCAACAAAGCCCAGGAGGCAATACGGTTCCTCCGCTGCCCCCACAACCTTCTGGAAATGTTGATCCACCACCTTTACCTCCACCGCCACCAGAATAAAAAACGTACGACTCACATCTTTTGTCGTCATACTATATTGTAAGAGATTAGTTTTTCTTGCTTTGAAAAGAATGAATATCCGATCACGAAATAAAGCCTTGAATATTACGCCTTGTCAAAGCTTCCGTTTTTTGAGGATCATCATACATTTCCTAAAGTTTTGATAGCTCGAAGAGAGACTTCGCTTGCCTCTCATAGAAACTAATCATCACTTTCACTTTTGATTTAATATTGCTGTTTTGCGTGATTGTGACTCTCAAAATATTTGATTAATCATATGTAAGTAGAACATATATCATAAAGCAAAAAAGATACATTTTCTCAACATCAAAAAGCAGGATGGGTTGATAAATTTCAATCCTGTCTATATCCTCAGCTAAGGAAGGAGAAACAAAAATATCTATGGTTGTGGCCTTGAAATACACACGAAGGTACGTTAAGTACCCAAGCTTATCGCATTGCTGGTTAATTGCAACATAACCTGTCAGCGGTTGTCAAACTGGTCACGTTTTCCCTTGAGCTCTTCGTTGGCCGAGTTCAGAGACCACCATAGCAGGAGTGGCAGAAAGGGAAATTTTTTAGCTCCAAACAAGACAGAGAAGTTCAGAATTCATTCATAAAAGCGTCACGCGTTGTGTGCTGAAACTGGAATTCTATGTGACGCAGTTAGATTACGAAAGAAACCCCCAAGATGTTAATGTTTCATAATATGTCGAAAATTGTCGATCGCATGGATTCTGCCGACGTAAACCTTGGCTTAGCTTTAAGAGAATGATAGTGATGTTTAAAGGAAGGAAAGAAAAGGTGGACTCCCTTATTCATCTTAAGTTTAAATGTTTATATTTTGCATAGTTCAGCGTTCTAAATCAAGGACATTCTATTTCCATGCAACGGCATATAACGTGTTAAAATTGTCAACAGTTCACGCCCAACCCAATATCAAGTTATCTGTTAAGGTTTAGCGGGTAAAATTCGCTTGATCTTTGCGGTAAAACGCGCATCCTTCCCTCATTTTTTTTTTATATTTGTGGTTGGAATACTTCCCAATAGGTTAACGTTTTAAGCCTCTGAGAGGTGCATTTCCGCACGAAACGTTCTTGAGTACCTTTTCCTCGTAGTCGTAAGTTTACATATCCTAAACTCATTACATCTCAACAAAATGTAATTTCCCTAATCGCTGTAGCGAAGTTTTATTGGTCAGAAATGCCAGAAACTTGTAGACTGATATTTAAATCCAACGGCTTACATCCAACTGATCGAACATGATGTAGACTCATCTTCGTATGAAAAAAAATTCGCAGAAGAAAATCTACTTCCCCCGGCACTGACGCTTTTCATTGTAAAACAAGTTGAAGAAAACTCGAGATAGATTTATAACTTGGACATCTATGTCAACAGCTACACGAGATATTACATTTTTTTTCATTTCTCAGTAGTTTTAAAATAACATCTTTTGTCAAATAGTCAGCTATAGCCCTTCAAGTTGGAGGAGAGAGTAGTTTCTTCACTGTCAAAGGCACATCCAGATGTATGCACTTATTATTCAAGAATGAAATGAAAATGACATGTAATGTTTCGATGTGAACACCAGCTTCAACATCTGAAAGTAATGTGCTGGTAGTTTTGAGAGAAAATTTGTGGTAATAGAGTCAAGTCTAGCCCTTCCGGTTAAAGCTCCAGGAAACTGGATCTTTCGAGTTGAAAATATCCTAACTTCAACTATAACAACAGCTTCAATTTACACGCTGAATGAAAGTTTCTCTAAATCGGATCAAATTGTCTTGCTATCTAGAATTAAACTCCTCCCTCCTCTTCTAAATGTTGTCTTTAGTCACGCGATACTATAGCTCCCATCAATTTTTTAGGAAATACTACAATTCATTTTCGAATGGGAAACTCAGAACTTACACAACTCAGCGGGAATCATCAAAGTCACTTTGGCAACGATGTTAAGGTAGAAATTATTATTATTTTATTTTTTTTATTTTTATACAAAACGATTGTTATCATTAAGACTGCTGTCTCACTATAGCAACTTGAAGCTACTCTATAATAGACTGTCAGTGGAAATGGATTTCCATCATTCAAACCTTTTTATTATTGGTTCCCATTGTGTAAATAAGTCTTATCGCTGAGATGTAAAAAAGAAAAAGGAGAAATCAATACATTTTAAAATTGCCAACTCTGTCTGTAATTTGCGACGAAAGCTAAAAATGTCCTCTTGAGGCAAATATCTAAATTTATGTTTCACTGTATTTTATCTCAAGTTCTTGATAAAACAGAGTATTTTTTTTCTCTACTTTGACTCGAAAATCCTTCTATTTGCCAAACAAGCGTTGCAAAATCATCACCGTCCATAACAACATAACGTTTGATGATGCTAATGAAAGGCCGCGAACTTAACTGACTGTAGACCTTAAACTAGTTATGTCTACAGCGGTGACCTAACTTACTAAGACTTCAAAATTTTTTTCCCGTTTAAAAGGAAAGTACGTTCGGGAATAGGAATAAGTAGTCTTATTCCACAGATGGTGCTTTCCTCATCTGTTTCGATAACTAATCCATGAAAAGTGCCGTTCAGACGGGCACTCAATTAGTTCAGCAAGCTTAAGTAAAAAAAAAAAGATCAAATTCCGCAGAAAAGAAAAACAAACCCAAATGACAGAAAAAAATGAAAGCTTCGTTTCGATGCAGTTGTCACGTACTGAGCTCTGATAGATTTTGTTCGTTTGCTCCTTCGAATCCTTTTTTCGGAAAAAAAAGCTTAATTATTATTAATTGCTTTTTTTTCGATTTGAAGCAAAATTTTTGCTCAACTGTAAATTTTATTTTAAAGGTCTGAAATGAATCCTTGTGAAATAATCAGTCTTTTAAAATCTTAACAAATTAAGGTTGACATAGATGTTTGAAACTAAAAAGGTTTTCAGTACAAGGGGGAGAGAGTGAACGGTAGACATAATAGTCTTCAGGAGAATCCTCATTTTGTATTCTACAGTATCATGTCTACCGCAGGTGGCCATCTTGTGGAGAAGTCGCTACTTTTCCTCCTTTTCCGGCCACTTTTATGCGCATGATAAACATTTTGTAGGTGTATCACTGATTGGTTATCCTGCAATTAGCATTCAGAACGCATTTTAGGTGACAAAGTGAAAAGGAAAACGGAAAAGCAGTTAAGTAACTGTAGTGTTATTGCAAAATGTACTTTACTTAATTATAAATAGCTTGTGGAAAAAAAAACTGATAACTGAAAGAAACACTATAGAAAATTTTCTAGATGTTTCAGGACACGACGGAGGATTATTTTTTCTGCCCTTAGGCCATTATTAGATATGTTTATTTTCTTTATTTTTAAAGAAACGTTTTGTAACCGCAATTTCGATTCCAAACATTAGGCAATGAAAAAATCACTTCTGCCTTAGTAAGGTTCTGAAGCTAGAGCGCTAGGCTTAAAAACATCAAAATTTACATTGATTTTTTTATTTGTTTTTTTTTTGATGGTATGCGTTACGACAAAGGATTTGATTAAATGAAAACTGCATATGCTTATCTTCAAAAGGTAAGTGTGATGGAAAATTTTCGTCAAATGTTACAAGTTTCGAAGACCCAAAGGTTGCGTCTATACAGAACCATCTACATTGAGATAAAGTGCGCTAATGAAGGGAAACAAATGACAAAATACTCAGCAAATCAAATTTTGCAGTTGACTTAATTCATAACTCAAATTTGGTAGATTTCCCTTAAGAAAGTCAGATTGGGGTTCGCATATCGAAGTAAGCATATCGTTATCCATCGAACACTTACAGTAAGGCTGCAAACGTTTCCCTGTCTATCACTGACTGTTTGCAAACTTGAAAAAGTTTACAATTGCTAATCCTTCCAAAACACAATTATTTTAAAAAGCAGAAGAATGAACTGGAGTTTGGCTGAGCCATAAATTATCATTTGCTGAAACGAGGACGGACATAACTTAAATAAGTGCCGCGTCGCTACAAGTCTTCCTTTTGATCTTCGTTGACAACTTTGTAAGGAGCATTGGAATTTAGACGACGCATTTCTCAAAATTTCTTGGAACTCAGTGTTAAAGTTTTAATGCGTCACGTTCGTCCAAGACAATTAGGATGCATTTGTTCAACGACCGCAAGCTAAATCCTATCACGATATCAATGCATCTGACAACAAAAATTTATCAAGATCATGATGCTTGGTCCTTTTCTAAATTTTTTCGATATTCATCACTTGCCAAGGGGAGTCACGTTTTCGAGTTTTGTCTTCGACTCATTTTTTTTTTCCAAAAACCGATCATTTCATATGAAATCGAGTCATTTTGTCTACAAGTCCGATGCAATCGGCTATTTGCTCTTCATGACTTTCCATCACACCTGTCACTGCACTTGCAAGATACATTAGTAGCATTTGATCGGTTCTTGCCTGAAACCTCACCAGCGAGGTTGCCAAACAGCAAACCACTTATAAGACACATTTTCTAAAAAAATACCAGATTTTTATCATACGGCGAACCAGACTAATGAGCTTCAAAGTAATCTTACGAAAGTCTAAGCAGGTTTGGCTATAACGAATTGAGCATGAGCTGGTAAGGAAGGACGGGTCTATTTGCGACTGGAAATGGATAAAAGTAAAAACTGAGGTACATTATTTTAAGCGATTCTTGTATCACCAAGGGCAGCAATCTGCGCATCGTTTCTTGTCGTTGACACCCAAACCGATGTGCAGTTTTAAATTTGCTATGTGCAAAGACAATCAACCAAAAAATGTGTTTTGCAATTAGATTTGTGTCGCCACAATGAAGTAGTTCTGTCGCAGTAGGCGTAAAATAGTCTGGTTCAAAGTGATCTATCTTAAATCGTCAAGACTGTACTCAAGCATTACTTTCAATATAGGAAATGTGAATATATCTATATGCTTTTCAACACCTTTCGGATTCGGATCTTTGTTCCTTCGCGTTTTCTGTTATAGCAAAATAGCTATTCCGTTTTAACCCTGGAACATAAAACACATCTGCCTTGCAGCTCTTTTGCAGACCTCACCAACAAGTCTCACCAACATGGCTTCAATGTTTTTTATCAATAATAATCCCAACAATTTCGCTTCTGTAATAATTTTTTTCTTATATCTATCTACTTTCGAACTCTTTTTCACCCATGTTGGTTTAATTAAATTTTAGCGAAAGCTTTGGGTGTAGTTGTTTTCTCCGATACTAATGTGCGTTCTTTATTCAAAAGAAGAATTGAAGCTCTCAGTTTTCATGAGAATTTCATCGACCACCTTTGATTTGAAAAGATGTTTAAATTGGTTTCTTTGAATTAACTCGAATTAGAGTCATTTTTTCTGGACAGAGATAGTAGAAGCATGTGTAAATCTTTAAGGACTGAACTTTGAATAGTGAAAGATTGAAAAATGTGTTCAACACTCATTTTAGAGGTGGTTGTTTACAAGACACTGGTCCTCAGATTCACTTTTGTCGAGTGCCACGATTTGGTTAAGCCTTGTGTATGTTGGAAAACATTTGAATTTGTATTTTTGTTCCTTTTTGATGCCTCAGTTTAACGTGATACGCGCTTTGAGCAAGCTCTGATGGACGAACAAAATGGAAATCAAGGTTTCCCTTATCGTTTAAAGGGTATTCAAAATCTTCGTTAAATACCTGGAATAAGTAAGAAGACTGCATTATTTTTCGACTGAAACATCTTTCACACTGGTAGTTAAGTTTAAGTAGTAGCTGTGCTTTTAGACTACATAATGAACATTTTTTTGGGAGGTATTGTTTCAACAACTTAGCTAAGATATTAAACTTGCAAGGAGGTAACACATTCTCCTCCCACACGATAATACAGATCATGAATAAACCACGTCGGCGACGACAACAACAACTTGGCAAAACAAAAGATTTAATGGCAAAAAACAATAGCTCAGGACGTGTGTCTCAAAACTTTGTTCATTTCTTTGCCGTCCTCTGTGAAACAAACACTTGAAATCATTTAATTGCGTGGGCTTCAGGCGGAAACTCCGACGCCAGGTTATTTAAGTTTCCATTTCGAACTCAACACTGCTCACCCATGTTATGTTGAAGTTGAGGTGTGGCGCCGTATGAAAAGGTAAACACATCTAGCCATTCGTGAAATTCTAGCTAAGATTATAAATTCATTTTCAATGGACTTTTGCTTAGGTTCCCAAATATTTATTTTAATCCCTGTAAGACAGGAAAAACGCCGGCACAAGTTATAGTCAAATGCCATTTCAGCCAAAGCGAAGCTTGATTGCTCCAATAAGATCCAGCACGAGAGGATCCTAATAATTTAGCTTCGTTAGGGAAGCCTTCGCTCTTTCAGAATCTCAGAATCAAAAAATTTAAAAGAAGGGTGCTGTCTCGCTATATTCTCTGACAGCTTTCGATGTAATATTTGATTATATCAAGCACATTTGCCTTTATGATATCTCGCATATTTTCATGGTAAGCGACAGTTTATAATCTCTTGTTGTAACTGATGTGGAGGTTTTGAGCAAATGGAATTAACAAAGATTCGAATATTACGAAAGCCACTTTTTTATGGAACATACGCATTAACAATGCATGTATTTTTGCTATTTCATCATTTTTAGCAACCTGGACAATTCGGTAAAAAAGGCAATGTTCCGATTTTCCAGTGAGCTACAGAGAGTTTTTAATCCAGTGATTTCATTTCCAACTTTAAATTGCCAAACTAACCTTGTCTTATCTGAACTTGTAAAAGCTAAAGTGGGCCAGCTGGTAATGAGCTAAAAGTAGTGGCGACCGCCTCGAATGGCCCATAAGTTTTGAACTAGCTTTAAAGACTGGGTCGAGTGAATGAGATCGAGGTTGATGGATAAACTTTGCGCGCGCACCGAAGACAAAGCTGCAACATTTTCGTATTTTGTAAGCTTGTTTTCTTCCTCTATTCCTTAAGCACGTCCAAAGCAGAATAGCCATATGGTTCAAAATGCTTCCCCTGTGAAATTAACTGAAAACTGTGCTGTGCTAAAACCACTGGCGCCCGAACAACTGCAACTGACAAGCTGGGTTCGATTTTTACGTTTTACATTTAAGACTCAAGCAATTAAAGTATCGCGAAATTAACCTGAATAAAGTTTTTTTAAAGGAAAGACGAGCAATTTGACCCTCCCTTCGATGTAGATATCAAAGTTTTTCCGTGGGCCAAAGCTACTGGAACGTTTGTAGAAACGGTCCCTGTTCCATTTGAAGAAGACGTTTTTTAACAACTCAGAAATCTGGACAGATATGACATTTGGAAATTCTTTAGATATTCTTACCTTCCTTTTTTTCGGCGATCCAAAGGGTTGTGATTTCTTCAATTCTTCTGTGAGAGGTTGCGACAATAGTAATTGCATCTTGTTTTTTAAAAACAAGATGTGTCATTTCTTTTTTTTTCAAAATGATTAAGATACATTTTCTCTTCGACCGCGAGCTAAATCCTACCACGAAACGTGTAATTACTTTAAGTCTGTTTTAATAAGACAATATAGGCAGAAAGAAAGAAACCCTCTTTATTAATGCGATATATAATCTCTTTCTATCAGGAATCTGTTTGAGTGTTTCACATCAAATAAATTTTTCGTAAAAAACCGACATTTTCTACTCCAGTATTCCTCTTTTTCTACAAATAAACAAAGTAGGTAGCGAAACTGTGGTTTTCTGTTGGTGGGGGGTACAAGATGATTTGGTTTCAATATCTGATTTAATAATGTAAACCGGTGACTGTGAAGAGTTGCTAACGTTGACGTTTCGAGCGTTAGCCCTTCGTCAGAGCGAAGTTCGATCGTTATCAGTTACTCAGTAATCAAGTGGCTTCGTATTTTTCATAAATAATTGATTGCACATGGTACATTGGCGGAACGTCCTCGATTTTGGTTAAGAGCACCCCAAGCTGTGGTAAAATCAGGTGGATATTTTTTCTAGAAGCTCTCATGAAGTTTATGATAAGCAGTCTGAGATAAGATTTTTCTTACCTTACAATATTTCTGACGATATGTTCCTCTAACATCTGCAAAATTGGTTTTCATTTATTGGTATTATCCTGCGTAAAAAAAAGTATCTGAGTTTCTGTGGCACAAATTTTGAAGGTTTGTACACTTCACTGTTTTCTCACATATTTTAATTTCGGCGTAGGCAAGTCATTGTCCTTTGCCAGGTTAACTAAGTGTTTGTTTGTTTTCGTTTTTTGCTTTGCGCAGTAGACTACGTTGAGAGAGAGATATTACCAGCTTTGGTTTGATCTTTCAGCATTCTAACCAAGTTTGAGAAAAAAGAAATCATTGATTTAATGCTGGTAAGGTAATTATAACAATCCACCAACTTCTGGCGCGACTACAGGCCTGGTGAAAACAAGAAAGTTAACCCAAATCGATTCGTTGAATTCCTTTGTTTGTATTATTTTTGGTTCCCACGGGTAAAGACAATCAACCACGCGAAAATAGTTTAAGTATATTTTTGGTGTAGAATAAGTAAACTCGAACTGTATAATGTTTCCCCCATCTATTTTACTTTGATTTTATGTCGGTTTTATCGTGTGTGTGTTTGATATTTGTACGTTTGGTAAGTTATGTCCAAGAGAGCCACATGATCTCAAGCAATGAAAAGCCGTAATTTCTGTCAGGAAGATCTCTTCCTTCTGTAGAAGATGCTTCGATCACTCTGCTCCGGTCATGATTTTCACAAATAATCAATGTGCTATCTATTTACCAATCCTAATATTGAACTTTAAATTGGCAGCCGTAAAGCTGAAGTTTCGAGTGTTGGCTCGTCGTCAGAGCGAAGCCTCTGAGAAATAATGTTTTAAAGGAGACAAAACAAAACAATCGGGAATTTTAATTAAACAAAAAAAGAAAGAAACGGTTTCCCTTCGACAACGAGGACCTAAAAAGACCTGTCTATTTTTCAACCTAGTTATTACCTACAGTTTCCTCTTCTTTTTAAAATATGGATCGAAAAAACAGTCAGTTCGAGTTGTCACAAAAATATATATATATATATATGAGAAAAAAAAACAACTGATGATGCCGTCTTGATAACGAGTATCCAGCGTGCTAAACAAATGTATACGGAAAAGAAATGGATTCACACAAAAACAAGTACACTCATTTAAGGACTACTGAATTGACAATATGTTTATCTGGTGTTCGCTTCGAAGAAAGAAAATTGTTTGAAAACCTCCCTGTTCGCTGTCCTTCTTAAATATAAAAAGTTTAACCTTTTAACTAAAATCTGATATGCTCTATCTTCATGTGAAAGATGATGAGTAAAAATGTCCGACGATCGGCGCCCTTCTAAGTCGATAATCAAAAGGAACTTTTAAATTTAGAGCGCGAAACAGAGGAAAAGTTCGACTGAACATGTCTCAATTCTTTAAAGGGCAGGAGCAAGGCAAACGAATACAAAATAGCCAAAAAAATAAAACTTCAATCAATCTTTTGGAAGCGAGTGGATCGTACTTCAACAGGGTGTGTCCAGCATTTACTTCTTGTTCCATTAGAAAAAGAATATAAGAATCTGTCGAGAAATGAAAGAAGCTGTTGGCTTTTTAGAGTTGGGAATGCGATGAAAGCTTACTTCTAAAAGTTATCACATCAAGATGAGACACTCTCATCATTCTCGTCGTTGGTAGTATACCATTTCATCATATTTCTGTATTTCAAGAAATTTATCAAACCTTTCAACAATTTTGTATTTAGAATATACCTAGAAAGATTACAAAAAAGAGGTAAAACAGACAACCAAGGTCAAACTGTTTTATTATTTGAAATCGGCATGCATAAACCCTCTTTTTATCATTGGAATGTTATTCATTCGAATACAACAGAGCAATCTAGTTTATTCTTTGGTACGCATTTGAGTTGGTCGAAATGAATTATCGCATTGCTATGATTTTGCATACAGGGGGTCTGGAAATATAGCAAAACAGTGGGAGACAAGGCAGAAGTCATTCGTGCACAAGAAAAATAATAATAGCTTTCTGGTTTACTTGAAAGCAGCTTTCAAAGAATAGTGAGAGCCACAGGTACGAGGGAAATTAAACACGAAATTCGTTGTTCTGTTGGAAGACGAAATAATTCACGAATATTTGGTACCTAATCACATTTGTTGACCGATAGATCAGTTCGTTTATTTTCAAATGTCTTTTTCGATATTATGCAATCCATATTCAAATTTCACAGTAAAGAAAAATTAGATGCAGGTCACGAAACAGTATGAATAATCTTTAAAAGTACAGGGCTTCAAATGACTATTCCCGGTTATTAAAATCCTTTAACTGTAATGTTTTCTTGCGAAATTTTTATGACCTTATTTAGAACAAAAAGCAAAATTGTTGTTAGTTATGTCGATCTCGTGTTTTTGGTTTCCGTTTGAAAATCATTTTAAAGGCTTTTTCCGACTTATAACAATTGGTTCATGTGACACATTTCAGAAATTTGGGACGTGTTTGGAAATTAGAAACGCTTTTAATGATCCCGGTTAGGTTTTTAAAATCCTAGACGATCAGAAATGTCTTGGTTTTCGTTTTCTCCTGCCTGCGCTTCCGTACATTTACACTAATCATCAGCGTATATAATTAGGATGTAAGGCGCGCTCGCGTGACAGACATAGATTTGATTACTTGAAGAAGCTAAGTTGTCATAGAAGGTCTGTTCGTTTCAAGATCATGGAAAGCCCCGGGTCTTTTTATCATTTTAGGATCGTTAAATGGTATGTCTCACTTTTAGTGAATGATTGATACATGCAATCGACTGATTTATTTATTGATTTATTTATTTTTTAAGTTACAAACGAAGGAGCTGAAAACATTTTTTTTCTGTGTTTCCTTTGCACGACTTACGCTTGTCTTTACTTGAGAAATATACGAGCGATGAAAATGAGACAGATGCAATGTATTACGAAACCTCTCATCGGAATTACAGATTTATGACTTTTAGTGGAGATTATCAGCTTGGCGGAAGATATGCGGGATACCTTTGAAATAAATTACTTAAGATTGAAGTGAAGTGGAAACCTGACCTAACGCCATTTAACATCTTATTATTGTTTAAAAGCTGCGTTTCAGCCATAACACGCAAACCAATCTATCTTGTTAATTGTTTCAAAAGAGGAAATTTTCTTATTATTATTACTGAATTTTTATCTTGCACCCAAATTGAATCTGGTACTAGCGGAGTTTTTAAAGAATAAACATGGCTGAAAGAAAACTTAACTAGGTATTGCGACAAGGGAACGTTTATGTCAATCGCATGCAGGACCTCAACTCCATTTCAAGCTAAACAAAAACAATAACACCACGACGCTCAGCCGCGTCGCAAACATCAGTTGTTCTAGTAATCGTAGAAAATCGTCATCATTTTTTAGCCAAGGATACCGTGTTCTTTTTCTTCTTTGTTTTGTTTTGTATTTTTGGTTTGCCAAAGAAGTAATAAGGTAAACAAACAAACACGTTTCGAAGAAGAAGCATCCATGATCGAATATTAAAGACGAATTTCAAAATGTTAAGTTACTCCTTTAAAATTACAAAACACTTTAAGAGTTCTATTGTCATATATCCTTTTTAATGACAGAGAGAGGCATTTTATGGCTTTTGAACCAAATTTCTCGTCCATAAGAAGTACTTAAGTTGAACTTCAATTTACAATCCGGTGGTCCTTCCTCAACCTCCTATCTTTGATGTGACAAGGGCTGTCTTCAACACTCATTAGCCAGCAATTTTCTGAATATATTGGATTTTTTATTGCTCCTTTCCAAGAGTTCCTTTGTCAAATATGGTTGGTGATCACGATCACTAACTAGCTGCAGTATTTCACTTTCCTGCGTGATCTAATGAGGAGTATTTCTTTAGAACAGTATGAATGTCAGTATACACGAAAAAGCTAAAGATAGCGAACGGAAAACAATATTGTGAACAAAAAAAAGGCAATTTCACTCGCCTTAAATTACTCCACCTGCTTTAATTTTCATTTATCTGTATCCTGTGAAACATTTTACTAATTGTCGTTCGAGACATTATCAGTCAGACCGACAAAACATTAAATAGTTTGACTCCGCTTTCACTCAGTAATTTGTTTCGCATCGTGTTACAAATTTGACTTCCAAAAATAAATGAGGGAAGGGACCGAGTGACGCCCATTTCATTAATTTTTTACTTTTGAGCGCCTTAAGCTTATTCAAATATCCCTTCTTATCTAGTGAATGATTCAGGATTGCAAACCAAGCTATAAACACTTTTTCGTCATTGATGTATTTCTCTTTAGCGTTAAAAACTAAAAGCTTTTTCTAAATTAATTCGAAACACTTCCTCTGTGACAAGCAGAGATCGTGAGTTGTCAAAACTTTTGCGAAACCCCTATATACTTTATCTAAGGTATACTTGATGAAACTTTGATTAGGGGACAGGAGGTTGTTCTTAATGATGATAACATACAAAGCGGCTAACGTCTAATTAATTAATCAACTAGGAAATAGTGAAAGCACATTTGTTTTCATGTTTAACATCTGTTCTCTGCTTGCTAGTTAAAGGAAGGGAACACGAAGAAAGCGCTGAATATTATCCAACACCCGCCATTGACATTTGCCGATTTTGTAAACTGAACAAGCCATGTCTTTCAACAATTCCACCGACGTCCCAAGTGGCAACTTTACCCAAACGAATACTTTTACTGCAAGTGCTCTAGAGCCGCTCTGGTTGGTTGTGATACGTCTTTCTGTTGAAGCATTTATTGCCTTGGCTGGTGTCATTGGAAACTTAGCTGTGTGCTTTGCAATATCACAGCATCGGTCACTGAATACAGTTCCTACAAATACGTACATCAGAAATGTAGCTGTTGGCGACTTAGCCTCCCTTCTTGTGTCTTTTCCTCTCGGAACAGTCACGGAACATTTCGCCTACTGGCCACTTGGCGAATTCGCATGCCGATATATTTTCCCGCTGAGCGACACCTTTTTCGGAGTGTCTATTTGGTCAATTACCGCCATTGCCGTTGAAAGGCATCGTATACTGAACGCAAGGTTCCCCCAAATGGCTTCCAGGTCATTGGCAAAACCAAGAATTGTATGCGCTGTCATTTGGATCTTTTCATTTCTTGGGATTTCTTTGCCTCTGTTACTTGTATTTGATTACTACCAGCAATCAGACGGGATTTACTGTGTAGCAGTGTGGCCTAACAACGGGCTTATTTACATCTATAGCATCGCAATGACCTTGTTCACCTATGTTATACCACTTTCCCTCATCCTTATGAGTTACTGTGCCATCAAGCGCAAGCTGCGCAAGAGCGAATCGTTCAACATGGAAATTGCAGAAAATAGCTGCACGGGAAGCTTCAGAACCAGCCAAGTAAGCCTCGTGAAAACACGTAGTAAAAGAGTCAGTAAGATCATGACCCCAGTAGTTGTAGTTTTCGCAGTCACTGTTCTTCCACTCAGCATTTTCCGAGTAATTCCAATCGATTATCACTTCAAATATCAAAAATTTTCTTTCATTTATTATAGGATTTGCATATTTTTTTATCTTTTCAATTCTGCTTGTAACCCTTTCATCTATTCCCTCGTAAGCAGGAGGTTTCGTCAGTCATTTAAGGAAATGCTTTCTTAAACCTCAATGATTAGCAGTAAGTCACTTTTAGAGTTAGGTGGAAAAAGACAACACTTGTAGATGTGGCTGTACTACCTGAAAATATTATAGTTTAACCCTTGTAGACTAGCAGATTGCATAGTCGTTTTTCTACTGTCTTAAACTTAACAGTAATTTGAGCTTTCGTGTTTCTCAAGCTTAATTACCGTGGTAAGTCTATGTTTGATAGGTAATAGGTGACAGCTTTGTGTTAAGGAGGGCTTTAAGAATAGTCTGTCTGAAAAATAAACCATTTAATCCATATTATCTTGTCTAATTTAATGCAAATGGTTCTGATGTTGTTATAGTTGATATTACAGTCAAACCTGTATTTTAGGACAGCGCATTAAGCGCCGCCGTATTAAGCGATCGGTTGTTAAACTCCCATATATGTTTCCCCTTTGTTACTGTAATTTTAACCCCTAATTAGCGGTCACTTCTATTAATCTTTTACAGCCTAACATCAGTATGCATATTCTCCATACTGTTCTTTATACATTTCCTAAGGTGCTGACAAGGAGAATTTGTTCGTCGATCTAAAGGTTCCTTCCCTGGTGACCATTTCCTATATTCTCATGACCTTAATGTGTGATTCAGGAGTGATATTGTTGTGAGAAAATAGATGCTAGTCACTCTTAGAGGTTAAAGGGTTAAGCGGTCGTGGTCACTCGTGACTGAGATCCAAAGGCCTGTTTTTATTGTCTTGTCACTTAAAGAAAAACTACTAAAATAAAACTACAAATAATTTTTCAAGTAAAATTTAATCTGTTTATCTCCAGAAATAAAAAATGCAGAGGTCAATTATGATAAACTGGTGTTGTTTCTCTTTCTTTTTAAATGACGCCTCTATTCTGTACAACCTGTATTAAGCAGTCACCCTGTCATTTACCGTGGGTGACTACTTAATACGGTTTCGATTTTATGAGTAATTGTAGTAAATATAATCTATAATCTAGAAATTTTCAGACTAATGAGTCATGCTGACTTGCACACCGTAGAACTTTTCAGAACATTTCATATAGTCACGCATTTCTTATGTAATAAAACAGTTAATAATATAATATAATAATAATATGTAATAATATGTTAATAATAATATGTAAAACTAAAATAGTTCTTGTGTAAGCGTCTGGAATGTTCCAGAACACTTTTTGAAGATATATAAAGCCTCGCTTATGTATAAGTAAGAGTAGTTGTTGTCGTCGGAGCGACGACTGCTATGAAAGCTACACCATGAGAGAGTTACTGCGGAAGATTACTCGTTTCAATGGACTTTGGAGACAACAGTGAGATTGTGTCAGTGGTGAGCTAGGATATAGACTGTGTTTGGCTTAATTAAGTTTATTAAATATAAGTATTGTACTGCTTTAAGGATTCGTTCCTTGTTAAGAACATCACCAATTATTACTCGCTGTTTAATAAAGTAGTTGAGTTTGTGGAATTGTAGCGTTTTTCTGTCGGTAAGATTAAACCGTAACATCGACTGTATTTTAATTTGGTCGGCATTAATTGAACTTTGCGCCATACGTCTCCCTGCTAAGGGATGGTTAGAATATTTCCTTTGGATGGAAAATTTGATGGTTTATGTTTCTATTTATATTATGCTCGGTATAAATTTCTCATTATTTATGAATAATTTTTTCAACTCATTCATTTCATCATTGTGGATGTTTTTGGATTTAATTTTTTGTTGTTTAATTCTACTCTATTTTGAGCGGAAACCCGAGCAACAAAATGGGCGCACTGAGCGTTTTAAGCTTTGATAGTTTCAAGGCTCAACGTTTCAAGCAACGAGTTTTTAAAAGCATCAGATTTTTTTGTGGTCATAAGGAACACTTAGGTGGTTTCGTTTGAGTTGTTTATGAGTTTCGAGCACGTCTTATGCGGTCGATACAAATCAAAGCAACTCAAAAATTATCCGCCTGTATGATCTCTTGAATCATCAAATTAAGTGTATTTATTATGTCTTGAACATAGCCCCATGCACATTGCCGCACAAAAAATCATAAAAAGTGTTCAACAAACTCTCAGAATTGAATTCCGCCAAATCGTTTATTTATTTGCGATTTTTTTTTCACCAGCTATGGTCTTAAAAGGTATAAGTTATCTTTAGAATCACAGAGTAGATTATAGATGCGATCATATTGTTCGACGAATCACGAATGCTTCAATGCTTGCTTACGTTGACAACAACGTTGTTTTGTAGCTAACTCGTCGCATCCACCTTAACCTTAGGGCAGCGGAGAATTGCCTTTACTTTCTGTCTGAAATTGTGGTTGAGCAGGGCATATACGAAAGGGTTCACTGCAGAATTGAATAATACTATCTGATTTGAAATTGCATACATCACATAACTCATCCGATAAGAAGAGGGTAACCGTAAGGTGTAAAAGAACTGAATGGAGCCATGACAGATTCCAAATATGATACTGACAACCACAGCCATTGCGGTAACCCGCTTGCGAACTCCCATTATACCCTGGGGTTTAGATATAAGATGAGAAAGAAAAAAAAATTATATAAGTATGGTTTAATTATCTACAATAAAAGGAGAGATCGAGGTTTAATCAGATGCAATTCATACTTAAAATTGAGTTCTCTCGGTCAATCATTCTCTTAGTAATTTTTTTCTTAAGCTTGGCTTTCTCGCAAGAATAAAATCTCTCATTTCATTTTGAAAACTGCCTCAATGCAAGCACAAGCACGAGAAAAAGCAAAAGTTCTGATCCTTATGCCTGTTCTTACGTTGAAGCCGTTTTCACGGCGAAATAAGGGGTGTTATCTTTACGTTTGTGCTCACGGCGCAGTGAAAACCAGGCAAGTTAAAAACCTCTTAAAAAAAACTTCATTTGTCTAAACTGACTGCCCCTAAGAACGATTTCGAAGAGCACGTTCTCAGAACATGAGCCAGTCACCATACGCCATTTTGAATTGTTATGCGGATTACCGCCATACTTCTCTGTCCCAGACTCCCTTTTCCCATTCCCATTCATTCCATTCCTTTTCCATCCACCATCCCGTTTTCTCGTTTCGACTCGGTCCAGCCTAATCACTTAGGTATTTGGGTATTCAGAGTGCTGTTATATTCAGATTTATGGTATTTCGTCACAATACGCGTCTAAATTATCTCGTCTTCAAGAACTTTTGGCATTCGGTTTAAAAATACATACAGCGTATCGGCAATCTGGGTCCCTTCTTTGAGGGAAACACTGAGTGTATTAGACTCTTCATATCACTCTCTTCCTTGCCTGATTAGAATTGTTCAACGTGCGTTCATTTTTTTGGAGCGTTTTCACTGAATTGAAATTAGAATTATTTGAGCCATCAAAGAGGAATTTTTTCTTGTTTACATGGCCTCATCTAACATTTTTAAAAATTTCACGACATACGCCCTCCTGTCTCGAATTCCCAGTTTGAAGAGGAGGAATCACATAGATACAGATGGAAAAATGACACTGTTTTATATATTATATATTCCCTAAACGTTTTGAATGAAATGATTTCCAATCAAATGACACGACGAAATCAAAAGAAAACATTATAAAAAAATATTTGAAGTGTAAAATTGCTAAAGGTGACCATTAACGTTTTTGCCATGCAATAAAGACAATATACCAAAATATCACTAAAGAACCGTGGGATTTTTAGTGCTGTGAGTTATTCACATCCACATGTCAATACCATTTTCCTTTTGCCTATGTTTTCCTTGATTTCGAGACCTCATCTAAACACTCATGACTTTCAAACAGTTCTCGAAAAATTGAAAATTATGCACGATTAAAAACCTAACCTTCTCAAATTCCTAGCATCAAAGCAAAAAATGCAATATTGTTAAAAAAGCAAACAGAATGGCTCAGTTTTATGTTGACTAAACCTTGGGCTTTATTGAATTAAAATGAGATGGAGAAACAAAGAAATTCCAAGGAAAAATGATTTTAAAAAATTAAAATGTCAATAGGCAAAGAGTAATCATTGAAATCTTCGCCCTAGAATAATTGATTACCTTTTATGCCTGAAAAAGCCACAGGATTTCTTGTGCTGCGACTCATTCACATCCAGATGTCGATTTTTCCTTTATTGTTAAACACTCTCTTCGTTAAAAATTCTTTTTTTCTCACCTCTCGACAACATTACTTACATTTATATTATTTTTTTATAATCAAACACGAACACGAAAATACATGTAAGTTCAGACTGAACTTTCTTGTGGGTTTAAGGTCTCTATAGAATTAGATGGACTCTTTTAAACGTGATTAATTTTTCACCTTGCGGCATATATCTTGGTTTATATACCTGGTATTCAAGGTTCGTGTCATTATCTAAGTGTAATAAGCCGACGCTTACAACTGACATGTTGGCAACCAGAAAGTTATTTGCTGTAAAATTCGAGCAACCATAGAATTTTCCACACTTTGAAGTCTGTCGTTTTCAGTTTGCTCTACTGAAAGTTCCATTCGTTTAAAGATCTAGAAGGTTTATTTCAGATTATATGGAAACTGAAAAAAATTCCTCTCGTCGGTAGACCGCGTGTGGGGGCGACTTATGGCTCAGTCCGCTCTTAGGAGTACCACGACTTCATTTAGCTCATTCTCTTATATATGTAAATAAGTCACTCGTTAGGGTAGACTCTAAGGATGTAGATCAACAGTTGCACCAGTCTTTAAGTTGCACTTCTCTTTTATTACAGAGCTTGTATTCAGACTTAAATATAACCTCATGAACTTTATGACACGAAGTGGCTGGTCTGCTGTTCGTAAAACTCTTTGTTAAAATGGCTTCTGTTAATTTATTTATTGACTGGCGACTTCCAAAAACAGGAAAAGTTTCAGAAATCTTCAGAGGGCGTGAGTTCACTGCAGAATCAGAAAAATTCAGCTTATTATTTTATTTCTATGCTACAAATGTTGTCAAATTTATTAGAAGAATCACGATTGTTTACTACTCGCTTGTGTTGACATCGTTCCTCGTACGTCTCGTCACATCAACCTTTACCTTGGAGCAGCGGAGAATTGCTTTCACTTTCTCTCTGAAATTGTGGTTGAGTAAGGCATAGACGAAAGGGTTGACTGCAGAATTGAACAATATCATCAGGTTGGAAAAAGCATACACTGCGTAACTCATCTGATAAGAAGTGAATAAGTGCAAGGTGTAAAAGAACTGGATGGAGCCATGACAAATTCCAAAAATGATGCTGACAACCACAGCCATTATGGTCACTCGCTTGCGAACCCCCATTATACCCTAGAGTTTGAATATGAGATGAGAGAGATAAAAACACATGGTTCAGTTATGGGCAGTCATTGCTTCTAAAGCCGGGAAAGGCTTTAACAATGCGCGTTCATTGATTATTGATGATAAACCCTTGTTCTAAAAGTGCCAAAGTTTTCGAATTAAGCTTATGATGTGCTTTGGATCGGTTGCATTCGTTAATTCAGTCACCTTTACACCTCATTTATTATATCCGTCTAAAGTCACTGGTAATCTTTGCAAACTGATTGGCTCTCGGCATTCTGATTTATTCACGAATAGCACCACTTTCTGCCCTAAATGGTGACATGTTTTGGGGGTTCTCGTGACGTTATTTGGTAAAATGACCTAGAAGTGAAATGCTTTTTGGCAAGCCTGAGTAGAATAATTGGCTCCGAAGAGCCAATCAGAAACCTAGAAATCAATAACCGTGCTTCAGTTTTTGCTCATACAAGATAACGCGTCAGAGCAAATGACGAAGCGAACGACGCTCGAAAATCACTTAAACAATCTCTCTACGGTGGCAAATTCACAATACACGATCCATTATTCCATACAGCATTTATTCATATTCTGTGAGTGGTGCCTGTGAGTTTTCTACGTGATTTCTTTTTTTTTTCTTTCTCTATTTTTTTCTTCTTAGCTTGTCAAATGAGCGTTTTCTTTCTCTTTTATGTTTTTGTTTGTAGCTAAAAAACATGCTCGTGATGTTAAAATATTCTTATCGATGGTGAATTCTACGTTTCCATTTTTAATATATTACGAGCAACATATAACCAGAATATACCAAATAGCCTGTACGAAAGGTGAAAATGCGTATATGTGAACATACAATTGGCAATGGTAAAACCCGTCTCACTTTTTTACAAACTAATTTGTCAGCACTTACTTTTTGCTGAGGTGTCACCGCATTAGTACCATTTCGTTTAAACCACAGGGCAAAAACGACCCTCGAGTACAGCGTGACCATCACTGACAAGGCAACACATACTTGTGTTGTAAGAAATATATTATAAGTCCTGATCTTCCAATCGTCGGGCCACGTTTCATAGCATAAGCCGTTGGTGACCTTCAGGTGAATGAAAGTTGGAATGTTGCTTGTCACCCCAATAAGCCAGGCGATGGTTATTATAACCTGGAAAGGAGAAGTTAACTTAGGGAGTCTACACATTGATTGGTTTATTACTATCGTTATCGTCATCGCCATCGCCATCGCTATCGCCATCACCATCGCCATCACCATCGCCATCGTCATTGTCATCGTCGTCGTTACCTACATTGTCCTCGTCTACATCCTTCTTATCGTCATCGTCATGGTTATTGCCATTTTCATCGTTATAGTTATCGTTGTTGTTGTTGTCGTCGTTATTGCCAACCTTTTCGCTTACGCTATCACTTTATGTTATCGTTATCATGATTTTTCTAGTAGAAACTTTGCTAGGGAGACAAACCTTCAGTTTACGATTGGTGAGTTTCCATCTTTTTCCACGCGGATCAAATACTGCATAATATCTTTCCACGGCGATTGCAACCAGAGTATAAATGGAACAGGCTGCTGCAACCCATCCAAAGCCTCCACCAGTTATGAATGTGCACAAAATCGAACTAATCCAACCCTCAGGGTGCCTTAAATTGGCACCTACAATAAGTTTGGGTGAAATAAACGTCGCAAAGAGGGCATCTGCCACAGCAAGATTGAAAATCAGGACATTTATGGGTGTCCTGCGGGATAAGCAAATATGCACTAAAATAAGTATTATTAATTATTCTTTTTATCCCCGAGAGGAGTGTGGGAGTAGAGTGGTGACAAAAACCATGCGGTTTTAATTTGGCTTCATAACGATCGATTAGTGTGGCTTATCGGTTTTTAAATCCATTGCTTACAGAAGAGTTTTAGTTTTGTTTATTGATACCTTTTATCTGTTGAGTGATTATGATGATTTCACTAGAGAAAGAGAAGATCAGCGGAGATCAAGAACAAAACTTTGGGCAAGGCAGTTTTGGACATTAACTTTTTACCAATTCCGTAAGTTGGTGAAGGCTACTAAGCTAATTCTGGAGAGCATAAGTATTGATTTAGAACGAGTTCTACATGTAATTACATGGCGAAATACACTAAATGGGAAGAAAAGGGCTTGTAAACATCTATTTTTTGACGAAATATTTCAGCTGATGGACAACATACCTTTTTACTCCATAAAAAGAGTCAATTTCCGAGAGACTTTTTCATAAAGAAACTTTTTTAGGTTTGTAGGCAAGTGATTCCAGATAGGTAGCCATGCGGCGGCGACGTTTAGGCGAACTGATAATATGTATTGTTTCGTAATTTAGCGACTAAAACCAGTCCAAAATACAAGGGTGTCGAGAAGGAATTCAGTTCTGTCCTGCTACCTCCAATGCGAATAAAAGGAACTGTCCACGAATGTATTTTGTTAATGCTTTTAAAAAAACCGATTGATCTCAGACCTTTTCACCCTTGCAGTAATTTCCTAAAGTGCAATATTACTTTTACTGAGTGGCCTTAAAACACCGCCATACGATGCTTTAAAAAAAACCAGCTTCCTATGAGTCGAGTTTAGAATTAGCTGTTCATTTTAATGCAATTGTTATACCCAATTTCTTACTATCGCTTGATATTGCTTCACTGTAAGAAGTAGCGCAAGAAAGCCACACCTTTACGCAATGCAGGCCAATATTTTGGCTAATTACTAGAAATTTACCTTAACATGTAGCTACGTTTTTAGCCCATGGCGATTACATTTGCACGTAACTAGTTAAATTAACAACAATCTGCGCGACTGTGATACACAAATGAATAACTTTCTGGATTCAGTCCTCAGTTTTTCTCAGCGGACCATTTTAAAGAGGCACCCATAAGGAGAAGTTCGACTGCGTGAAGATTTTAGACATACCTGAGATTTCTATTTTTCCATATTATGACACAAACGAGAGAATTTCCCACGATATCCACTAAGACAAGTATGAAGAGGGTCGTTGTTATGGCAAAAGCAACAGACATCTGGAAATGCGTTCCAAACTAGTAATGATGTAACCTAAATGGGAACAAATCATTGCAGAAAGTTAATTCATCTTTCGTAGTTGAGGTGTTATTTCGCCTTTAACCGAGAAAAGCAACAGTAAGGTCTAACAACAGGTTTCATTTGTAAAAAACTAGTTATAAACTTCCATCTTAATGTACGGCATTCTTACTGGATTGGAATTATCTGCCAAAACGTTTCGAGTAAATTGATTTCCAATAAAATGACACGACGAAATGTTCGAAAGAAAATAATAATATGAAAAACAATTTAACGTGTCAATTGCCAAAAAGTGTCCATTGAATAAAAACGTTATACCACAATATCACTAAAGAACCGTGGGATTTTTAGTGCTGTGACGTATTCACATCCACATGTCGATACCATTTTCTCTTTGTTTATGTTTTTCTTAGATTTCAAGGTCTCATCTGAGCACTCATGACTTTCAAACAATTCACGAAAAATTGAAAATTATGCACGATTATAAACCATATCTTCTCAAATTCTTAGTTTTAAAGCAAACATTGCAATTTTGTTAAAAAAAAGCAAACAAAATGGCTCAGTTTTATTTGTCTAAACCTTGGACTTTATTGATTTAAATGAGATAGAGAAACGAAGAAATTCAAAGGAAAAATGATTTAAAAAAATTAAAATGTCAATAGCCAAAGAGTAATAGTCTAAATCTTCGCCATAGAATAATTGATTACCTTTTATGCCTGGAAAAGCCGCGGGATTTCTTGTGCTGCGACTCATTCAAATACAGATTTCGTTGTTTTCTTTATCGTTAAACACTCTCATCTTTAAAATATCATTTTTGCTCACCTCTCGACAACATTACTTACATTTATTTTTTTTTTTTGGAATTGAACACAAACACGAAACTACAACAGAGGCAGATTAAACTTTCTTGTGGGTCTACGGTCTCTCAGCTGTAGAATTAGATGGACTCTTTTCAAGGTGATTATTTTTTCACCTCGCGGCATATATCTTGGTTCATATGCCTGTTATTCAAGGTTCATGTAAGTATCTAAGTGTAGTAAGCCGACGCTTTCAACCGACAATTTTGGCAACCCGAAAGTTATTGTTGTAAAATTAGAGTAACCATAGAATTGTCCAAATTTTGAAGTCAGTTGTTTTCAATTTGCTCCGCTCGATCCAAAAGGTTTATTCCAGATTTTCGGTATGGAAACTGAAAAAAAACTACCTCGCGCTTTTAGAAAGGAGGCCGTGCGTGGGGACGACTTATATCTATATCCCTACATCCGCCTTGAGGTGAACCACGACTTTATTTAGCTCATTCTCTTTTATTTGTAAATAAGTCACTCGTTCGGCGTTTTATCTTTTCCATTTTCCAAGTTCAAAAACTACAACAAACATGATCATGTTTGTGTTTGAAATATGTGTTATGTCAAGAAGACTTTTTTTAGCCATCAACAAAAACGTTTATGCTAGATTTGGATTTTGATAAACTATTGTTATCTTTATATTCTTTAGTTACTTTAATTAATTTTGGTTTCTCCACGTTGCACGCCAAAAAAGGAGCTATTTTCTTTTAACTCCCTTCCCCCCGAATGTTTTTAGGGGTGGAAAAAAAAAAACTAACGAACGCAAGATCTTAAAAGATTGCAAAAAGGTAAATGTAACAAGCTCAAAAGGTACTAGAATGTATTACTAAGAAAAAGTTTTGTCGATGTAGTGATTTTAGGTTAGATTGAACTTAGATTTAGTCGAAGAATTAAAAATTTTAATGGCAAAACACCTCTCTAATTATCATGCCGGAAAAGAAACATTATTTTCTATTTATCATTGTCATTGTTATTTTTTTAAGTAGCCCCTAATTGAGGAAAAACAAAATAATTATGGACAGATGCCATTTTAATCTCCCAGTTCGGCTGTCTAAAAACTTAAAATCATCGTCTTCAAAATGTTCAGAACATGCTTTGATACTAAATGTTATTGATTATTATTTCTTTGGATCCCTTTTAATCCTGAAAGTCCATATCAGTTTTCAAAAAGACTTTTAAGTGATAGTTGCTTTAGAAAACAACTATCATCGTTTAAAACCGAGTCAAGACAAATTACTTTCCTGACCATTTGTTCATGCAGATTTGAAACACAGATTTGTGCAAACAGTGTTTAATGGAAGAATACATCGATACTTAACTTTTAAAGCATGGGATAATATAAGGAATTTAGGAAAAGGCAAATCCAAATTTATTTTAGTGGTGAAAAACGCAACAATAGTCAGTGGAGCATTATTCACGCTTTGCCGTAAATCTATTATGACTGTTTTTACCCATGTAGGACCAAGTTAGCAATCTATAACGAATGACGTTGAAGGGGAAAATTTTTGGATCTTTGATTTCTGTGCAAACGAGAAAATCGTCAGACACCAGACATGAGAGCGCCCCTCTAAAATGGTGAAATAATTTTTTTTTCCTCATTGACATTATTTTTTATCTTTGGAAAGATTTTAAATAATTGTTCAGGAATATTATTGCACTTTACCATCAAAGGTCGTTTGAAGAAGCAATTTTCCAAAATTTACAACAAGTCGTGATTTCTTGTGCTGTCACTTATTCAAGCTTAACATTTTCACTTAATTGATTTCAAATGGAAGGACAAAACAAAAAACTTCGTAAGCAAAATGATTGACTAAAAAACGCATTATAGTCGTCATAGAATGAATACAGTGTGATAACATCTTAGGACTAAAGAACCGCGGGATTTCTTCTGTTGTAGCTCATTCAAATCCAGATGTCGATGCTACCTTTTTAATTCCACATCCAATGTGTTTTATTTCATTATTTTTCTAATTTCTTTTTCGTATTGCGTACATCTATAAGTTATATAATTAAACATGAGTCTTTTCAACACGATTTCTTTTTCTTTTCCTTTTCCTCTTTTTTTTTTTTTTTTTTTCTCAAAGCAGATTGAAAAAACATGACGGTTCATTCTGCTATCCAAGAATAACTCGACACTAATAACTGACCATTGTGATAACTCGTGGGCAATTTGCTGTAAAAGGACAACAACTACAGAGCAGAGTCAATTTCTTCGCTTTTTTCTCGACAAAAAAAGAATCAATACACCTCACTCAACTTCTGCATGAAATTTCCATTGTTTAGCCAAATGTTTACTCGATTTCATGAACAGAAAATTCTGCTGCTTAGCGTCAGAAATTCTAACAGTTATTGAATTCAGATCAAAATAATTTTTTAATTATACCCATTGAAAATGCTATTATCCAGGCCACATAATTATCCCAATCCCGCAGAACATATTTTGAGGTCAGTAGTTTCTAAATTAGTTTCGCTTTTGCGAATGAATGAATCTTGAACTCGAAAGTTTATTTCGTCGCTAGTTTTGAAGTTTGTGAGGGAACCGAAAATATTGTCTTCAGTCTTGATTTAGTAAGCCACGGGCGGGGACGACTTCTTGTCTGTTTTCCTAGAACCGCCATTCCATATAGCTGTCTACGCAGCCTTTCCATAAACTGGTGATTGGTTCGTTCTGATCATGCGCAAGCTGGTAGGAGTGTTCAAACTCCTTTACGTCACTGGAGGTGGAATATATAGATAAAACCAATAACTGCACTATACTATTTTTTTATCCAACGGCAAAAAGTAGAGTACAAATAATGCGCGAATAGAATACAAATATCCTGCGATATTCTACGGTTATTTGGACAGTTGGATGACTTTTCAGACGTTTTAGTGTGTAGTATCGTCGAATTAGTTTTACTCGTTGTTTGAATTTTTACTCGCCCTATCGGCTCGTCAAAATTCGGCACAACTTATAAAAATACTCAGCGATAGTACACACCATAACGTCTAATAAGATACGTTTCAGAATTCTTGAGAAGGTGTAAGTTGACTGTAAAGTCAGAAAAAAGTACAATTTATCATTTCGTTACTAAGTTTCAGATGCCCTAAAATTGTTTGAAGAATCACGAATATTTGAAGGCTTTTTTGTGTTGACAACATGGTAGGTTTGTATCTGACTCGTCACGTCAACTTTTGCTTTGGGGTATCGGAGAATTGCCTTCACTTTCCGTCTGAAGTTGTGGTTGAGCAGGGCATATACGAAAGGGTTGATAGCAGAGTTGAATAATACCATCAAGTTGGAAACTGCATACATAATATGATTCATCTGATAAGAAGAGAATAAATGCAAAGTATAAAGGAACTGGATTGTGCCCCAGCTTATTCCGAAAATGATGCTGACGACTACAGCCATTAAAGTGACCCGCTTCCGGACTCTCATCATACCCTGAGGTTTAAATATGAGAAATATATGGTTTAGTGACTGACACCTCTTGCCTCTAAAGTCGGGCCAAGGTGCATTCATATTTTAAGTGTTTAACATGTGTAATGATATCGAACCGTAGTACTAAAAAAGTACCAAAGTTTTAGAATTTAATAGCTCTTGATATATTTGAGATCTATTGCATTCTTTTAATCATGTTTATGAAACGTCTGACATCCACTTAAAATCGCTTTTGATCCCTATTATCTGATTGGCTCTTAGAAGTGCGATTCATTTACTAATCGCACCATTTTCTGTAAACCATCAAACTACAGGAAAATCAAATACAGAGGCCATTATGTTATGAATTTTGCAGCTTTTGTCCCCCCAAAATGGATGTAATTAAGTTGTAGTTGAACCACGTGTCGAGAAATTCTGGTTTAAGAACTTACCCATCATTGAAGTGACGCTTATGATTTAAGACAAAATTTCACCCCACTCAGTTCAATTACCATTTGTTATCACAACGTCAGCACTTACTTTTTGCTGAGATGTCACCGCATCAGTACCATTTCGTTTAAACCACAGGGCAAAAATAACTCTGGAGTACAGCGAAACCATCAAAACTAAGGCAATAATTACTTGCGTGGTGACAGACAAAGAGAAAGCCTTTATCTTCCAATCGTCGGGCCACATTTCATAGCATGCGCCGTTGGCGACTCTCATGTAAGTGATATTGGGGATGTTGTACATCGCTGAAATAATCCAGGCGGCAGTTATCATAATCTGGAAAGGAGAGGTGAACATAGGATTTCTGATACTATCGTACTCGTTCTCGTCCTCGTCAGCGTCAGCGTGAACGCTGACACTGACGCATGCGATGTAATTATTGTTATCGTTATCGATATTTCTAGGTTACTGGCTTATGAAGCATCACTGAAACAAACCTTCAGTTTACGATTGGTGAGTGTCCATCTTTTGCCACGCGGATCAATTACTGCATAATATCTTTCCACGGCGATTGCAACCAGAGTATAAGTGGAACAAAATGCGGCAATCCATGCAAAGCCTCCACCAGTAATGAACGTGCACAAAATCGAACCAATCCAACCTTCTGGGTGCCTTAAGTTGACACTCACAATCAGTTTTGGTGCAATCAATGCTGCGAAGAGGGCATCCCCCACAGCGAGGTTAAAAATTAGAACATTTATGGGCGTCCTGTAGTATTAGAAATAATATGTACTCAATAGAGTAATTGTATCCTAAATCATAACCCTTTATCAACTGGCTAGAGTCTAGCGGGAAGATAAGGATAACATACAGCGTGCGGCTTGAGATCGGGGTTGTTTGGTCATGTTATTTGGATTCCAACTCCATTATTTCCAGGAGAGTTTCATCCACTGGTAGTTTTTACCGAGAAGGTGGAACATTTTTCTTGGAAAACATTTCTGGGGCGGCGCGCACAACGAGATGGGATATAATTTCATTGAGGAAAAAAAGACCTGCAAAGATAAAAAAAAAAAAAATGAACGAAGAGTTGCCGTTTTCAACTTTTACGACGGAATTTGTTTGTTTTGACAAGCAAATATAGACAGCTGAATGCGTTCCATGGTCAAAAATCAACCATTTTGAAAATAGATAGTCATCGAGGATTCATTTTTTCGCAATGACAGATTTTCGGGCGAAAATTGATTCAGGAAATTTAGGTCTTACATATTTGATAAAAAACAAATAATACTAAAGCGAAAACTCTCGTTCCAAAGCCTACACACCTTGCACAAATAAGCAGTTGCCTATAGGACATGATTGACATATTCATTTGGTTTCCTCGTGAACTAAACAAATAAATTTTGGCTTCAGGATGAAAAATTTACTTAGTTGGGTCGAAATTGAGGATGCGAATGAGAACGCAATTAACACGAGCTGGAAATACAAACTTGCTAACACACGATCGATCTCAGTAAAAGATCGCAACAAAATATATACTCGAAACGAAAACAAAATGGAATCACAAGGTTTCTCACGAATGGAAAAGTTTTGGCGAATTCGTGAAAATGAGTTCAGATTGGTGATATAATTTGTCGAAAAAAAAAAGTTCGACTGATGAGCTTCGACTTCGTGCAGACTTTAAATATACCTTAAATTTCTATTTTTCCATATTATCGCACAAACAAGCGAATTGCCCATGATATCTACCAATACAAGTAGCAGCAGTACTGTTGTTACGGCGAAAGCATTTGACATCTTGAAACACGTTCCCTCAGTAGTGTTATCATGGAACCTAAATGGGGACAAAACAAAAGCAGATAAGCCTTTCTCACTGAGAGAAGGTATTATTTTGCTAACATCTAAGAGCGCAACGGTAATGAGTTATTCTCCTGAAAATCTTGTAACAAGTTTCATTCTTAAAATAATCATAAGACTCAACTTTCGCGTTTCTGCCGGAATGGTAATGATTTGAGCAATTATAGAGGACTTTTTCCTTGATTATCAGCCTGATCTGAACATTCGGGACCTTAGAAATAATCTCGGAAATTTGCAAATTATTCAATATGAGCCTCAGCGTGTTGAATTCCCATTTTGAAAGTGCGTAATCAGTTTGTCACAAAAAAAGATAATGGCTCAGTTTTATGTTGACTAAACCTTGTGACGAAATTGATTTCAAATCGATTGTGATAAAACAAAGAAATCGAAGACAATAAGATTAAAAACAACGAATCAAAATATCAACGGCTTGAGAGCAAAAAGGTTAAAATCTTCGCCATAGCAATATCCCCTTAAGCCTGAAAATAACGCTAGGTTTCTCGTGCTTTAAAATATTCAAATCCAGATGTTGGTGTTTACTTTTTTAATTTAAAATTCTCTCCTGTCTTTTTTATTTTTTGATCACTTCTTGTTGGTGTTTCGAATATCTATTTGCTATATAATTAAATATGAACATGAAACTGGCTTCAAAGTCACTTTCTTGTGCTCAAAGACCTCTACAGAATTGAAGGGACTCTTTTCAACATGACTTGCTTCTTTAAGGCAGACTGATTATCCATGAAGGTATCTGCTATTATCTAAGTAATAAACTGACGATGACAACTGAAAATCTTGGCAAATTGAAAGCCACTTGTTTTAAAATGACATTAACTAAATGCAATAATGTTTGACTTTTTGTTTCGGTGCATAGTGCTGTTCAAATCTTGTCTATCAGCATCAAAAAAAATGGAAAGCGTGAAGCAGCTTATGCTCTCTTATCAGCGTAAAGAAACTTAAGTTCCTTTTCGCTGCCCCTTTGGGAGCTGTCTAACCTGGTACTTTCAAAGGGTTAATTCTGATGGTTGATACGTCTTTAAAGATAGAATCGTCTAACTTACCGTTAAGATATTCGCATAGCGGTAAATTGCTAAGGGTTCCGTCTCAATAACTCGAGTGCTTTGAACAGAGCATGGAAGAATGAATCAAACTTTAGCAATAAGCAGCTGCTCAAATGGATGAAATCAAACTCTTCGTAGCTGTCATGCAAATTTCATCGATTCATTTCACACAACGCGGAGGGCTTTTTTTACCGTTGAAAAACAACTTTGGTTTCTACTGGTTTTGAGGAATACTTCCGAGTAGAGCAATTACGACTGTGTTTTATCATCAAGATAAGCGCGGATATCGGTCTTCCATGCGCGACGTTTGACCATACGACTCCAAATACACTCGGATTATGTTTGTTTGTAATTAGCCACAAAATCCCGCGTAGAAACGCATTGCCTAAGGGAAAAACCACTTATTGGGAGATTTACGAAGTAAGCCATGTGAATACAAGTGAATAAAGAGGGTAAGTTTCTAAAGAAACTGTGGTACTGCGTACAACAAGATAATTTTGGTTTAATCTGAGTTTCTAATGAAAATTGGCCACCGTAAAGAGTTTCAAAGCTGATGTTTCGAGCATTAGCCCTTCGTTTGTGTGAATACACCTGTGCACTTACACCTCAGCACTAATTAGCATAACAACAGTACGTTCTTAAAAGATTTCACAACAAAGTTTTTCGTTACAACAAGGACTGTGAAAAGCAAGATGATTTGGTTTTATCAGATGAGTTGATGATGTAATTGGCCACCGTAAAGAATTTCTCTCTGTTGCTCCAAAAAAAAGTGACTTTAGTGTCTGGCTCAAAAAACGTTATACTTCCACTAGCCTCTACTAATGATCAAACTATGCTTTCAAAAACTGCATGCTGAGTAAATTTCTTATAAACTCACTAAGATAACTCTTTTGGTGAGTAGTAATAGACTTTATAATGGCAAGCACTTGGTCGTATGGCAATACATGCTGGCTTGATGATTAATACCAAGATCCGGTCACTAAAAGCGGCAAACTTGAGCGACAACTCAAAATCCTTTTGAATGTCGTCTTCCACAAAATCCTAAAACACGAGCAAATTGGAAAAGTTCGAAAAGATTGCCACTAAACAAGAAAGAATAACGACGTCTCCATTGAGTGGCACATTTTATCTGAACTGCCTGGGTCGAAGAAGAAAGATTTCCTGTCCGTTTGCTCCAAGTTCCGTCGGTTTTCCCTCCATCATTCGGACAAATTAGCCTAATGGAAAGCGTCTAAGAGTTTCTGTTAATGAATATTATCAACGCAACCAAATTTGTGACAAATTTTCATCAACTCTATTAGGACACGCATTGTGAAAGAAAGAACTTGTACGATCATGAAGTTAAGTTAAATACTGAAGTTTCGGTTTTGTTTAGAGGGTTGACGTGTAAATTGAGGAAAATGAAGCCAACCGTAGCGTGATAAACTATTGCTTTTAAGTTGTATCTGTGATGATATTGGCAATTTCCGTACTTTTTTTTCTGTTGAATATACTAATCTCCCTTACTCAATATTCTCTGTAATAGTCATTTAACTCGAGTTTGTTTGCTAAACCAGTACTGTCGTTCATTTAAAAGTATACGTGTACCTTTCTTTTCTTTACATGCTCCATAACTAATAGAGATACTCATGAAAATAAATGTATAAAAGTTTGCTTGGAAGCCTTTCAAATTACCTCTGTCATTACGCAAATGAAAACGTCTCGGTGAAGCCCCTCTCTTTAATTTACTTTGACCCGTTTTTTCTACTATCTACTCACTTAACGAAATGCTCAGTTTATGGAGGATCTTACGGTAGGTAAAGCCCTAAATTGTTCGGGCGCTTTTGGTGAGCATTTTGAGAAAAAAGTCAAAATGTTATTCACCAGCATAGGTCTGGTCCCACTTTACCGAGAGAGACAAAATCAACTAACAGGTCAGGTTTAATCCCGATGGGTATAAAAAAAACAAATCGAAATCTCAATATGGAGGCAAAAGCGATATTTTAAGGCAGTTCAGTGTTTGCCGCAAGGACCTCGCCTAAAAATTCTAATTAATCGATAGGTAGCATTTTTTGATAGTTAAAAAAGTAAAAGAAAAATTGAATTTTAAAGAGGCGGTGAGTATAAGTTTTGTCCTTTGTGATTTCCGTAGGAATTTAGAACGCAAACTAGGTATAATTGTTTGATGGCTTCCACGCCTTGACAAAACGAACTGATCAATGCAGCATGTCTTTAGATCACGTTTCAATACAATGACGCTAGAAGGTAGTGCAGCAGAAGATTATTACATATTTACAAGCAAAGTAGGAAACTGGGGTATCATATTGAAGAGAGAAAATTTAGTATTTGAATCATCTAACAGTCATTTCACAAAGACCTCCCCCGATGCGCGATGAACGAAAAAAAACTTATCCTCGCAAAAAAATCTAAGAGGCATCATAGGCGCACTATGGAAACTATGCAAAAAAATCTTGTCTTCGAAGAGAGAAAAAAAGTTGAGGGCACATCTTTTTTTTTTTTTTGCGCACACAATTCTGTAAACTCTTGCGAAAAATTAATATCATACATCAAGAACTACTTCTTTACCTTCTCCCCTCCCACCCCTGCCTGAAACGAGCAGTTTCCTTGACCCTACACCCAAGACCCTA